AAGCCCCATGCCCATGCAGGGACTGAACCCGAGATCAAAGAGGTCCATCTATATCCCTAATTGCTAATCAATGGACCATGCACAGTACTGAGCTTTAGATACGAAGAGAAGCATGGGTCCACCTCAATACTCTGACACTTACACTGACATTTCATTTAATTCTCCTCTGCTTCAAGTTGGAGCAAGCGCTTTTCTGTTTTTATCCTTCTCTTCTTTTCTTTTATTTATATGGTCAAGACAATACCTGAAATGCTCCGCTCCCATAAAAAATCATTAAACAAAACGCAACTCGAGTTATTTTTAACTCTTAACTCTGGATAATTCACAGAACACCAGAAACAGGGAGTGGTGGGCTTCTCTTTTGCTGTCGTTTTGGCACCCTATATTTATACTAGTGAATAGTTGTAAGAGGAACATTAGGCATTGCTACAAGAAACGACTAAAACCATCAACTTATTGTATTGTTGTTGTCAGAAATACACCGGAAGAGATTGAGGCTAGAGTGTAGGGTATGGCGAATTGGAGGTGGTAGTGGTTTACTAACTGAGGGTGGTGCAGCAGTAAGAAGTAGCTGCTGCATCATGTCTTTGAGTAGGGTAATGGGTTAAGAAGAGGGAGGGAGAGAGAGAAACTTTGATTGAGGCTACAAAAGGGTTGTGTGGCAAAGAAACAAGCTTTGCCTTAATGGAAGGGTCTCATTCTCAACTATGCTTCCTTGTTTACTGGGCCATTAATGCAGAGTGGGTCCAAACATTTACCTAACCACAAAAAAAAAAAAAGGACAGACATAGCACAAACCTCTTTGCTTCACCTCTTTCTCTTCCTTCCTTTTCTTTTCTTGGCATTCCACTTGCACCCTATACTATATAACGAATCACCCCCTCCTTTTCCTTTTTCTTCTAAATACAATTTCATCTTTTATTTTTCGTTCTCTTACACATATCATTTCATCCCATATAAACCCATCCCAAAAAGGCTTTCCTCAGGCTCTTCAACTTTCTGCTCCCAACATCATCTCTACTTGGAGAAGAATCCGAATCTTTTTGAGTTTTGACTCGATCTCCTTTTATCCCTCCTTTCTCTATTCTTCTTCTTCCATATCTGATGCAACCGATTCTGCATTGAATCACCCCCTCCTTTTCCTTTTTCTTCTAAATACAATTTCATCTTTTTATTTTTCGTTCTCTTACACATATCATTTCATCCCATATAAACCCATCCCAAAAAGGCTTTCCTCAGGCTCTTCAACTTTCTGCTCCCAACATCATCTCTACTTGGAGAAGAATCCGAATTCTTTTTGAGTTTTGACTCGATCTCCTTTTATCCCTCCTTTCTCTATTCTTCTTCTTCCATATCTGATGCAACCGATTCTGCATTGAATTGCCCATGTTTCTTGGCGTTTCCCCTTCATTTCCCTCCGAAGCTGGTCATACATCTCAACTTCAACCTTTTCACTCCCTGGTCTCTGCACACTCATCAGAGACTCTCACATAATGGGTTTATGCAGGAAACACTTAGTGCTAGTACTGTGTCTGCTCTTGTTCATCAGCATATTTGGTCATTGCCATGGTTCAAGAAACACACACGTCTTCAAGGTCAAGCCAAAGCCTAAGCACTCTGGTCACTTTCTTGGTTTCTTGCCCAGAAGCCTGCCAGTACCTTACTCTTCTCCTTCAAGGAAACACAATGACATTGGCTTAAGAAGCTGGAGTTCACCGTAAACTTGCCGAGAAGGAAAGTTTTGGGCTAATGGCGACTTCGGTTATTTTACCTTTCTTTCCTAAAGAAACAAGGAAATTAACCGAGGTGCATGGAGCTAGCTAGCAACAAAAGGTTAATTCAGTGTTGGTAGTGTGTTTGTTATTGATCCTGTTCTTTCGTTGCAGGGGATGTAGTAATGGTTGATCTGTTAGCTTTCTTTCTCTGTTTTTCACTGAAAGGATGAAATGGATATGTTAAATCTGTAATTTTTGTTTTTTTTTTTTTTCCTTTTTTGGGGAGTGTGAATCCATGAATATAGACAATGTTAATAGCCTGACAGAATCTCAAGTTATCGGGTGTTAAACATGCTTCTGATGTATATGAGATGACAAGAAATTCCAATTATGCATAAAGGAGTACACATGCACGTTCGGTATCTGTATTTCTTCTGTTCTTTTATTTGTAATCTGGACATCAATCCTCCTTTTGGGAGAAGACAGCCAAGTAAACGGCAGAAAATAGGAGCCGTCCGTGGTGAAATCTGTACCTTTTTAATCTGCTCTTCAATTGAAATCCTTTCTATTGACACCAAATTAGCAAGATGATTCGTTTTAAGGATTAATCATGAGATTAGTAAGTGGTCAAATTAGAAGGTGCCTGGAAAAGTGGAAAGAGCAGAGAAGATGGGGATATATGAGTAAAGACTGGCACTAGATCAGGAAACCTGCCTCCTTTGAAATTGCTTGCATAGAAGAAAGAATCTCGTAGCGTTGAATTCGTAAGCTGATCTCATTCTCTTCTTAGGAGGTTGCGTGTTATACTTCTTTCTTGATCTAAATAAACAACTATAAAATAATATACTACTTTACGTTTAGCTTACTGAATACTGAATCTGACCTTCTCCCATCCAAAATTTTGAGGATGATTTAAAGAAACAGTAACTCAAGTCTTACTTTCAGGGAAAATTAAAAAAAAAATTGTTGAATTTTAAAATTTCAAGTCATAAATTACTGCAAAAATGTATTGTTATTTGCTTTTCAAATGTAATTATTTTTATTATTTTCAAATGTAGTTATTTTCATTACGAGGATAACAATTCATACTGATTTGGAATTTTAAAATTTAATAATCTTTTTTTTTTTTGAATTTTCCCTTGCTTTTATCTTCAGTCCCAGTTTGATTTTACTATAAGGTAGGTTTAGACATATGGGTACTTAAAAACTCGGAAAACAGAATCACAGGGTATTGTACAGTGACATGTTGCAATGGCCTTCAAACAATATAACTTTCTGCGGGAAACAAAGGAAAACATTAAAAAAAAAAATTGCCACTGTTTCTGGTGCGACCACAAAAGCGAGAGACAGTCTGAAAAAAAATATTATTCTCCCAGTTGTCCACCATTTTCATTCCCCAAAACATGGCGTCTCTGTGCACAACATTTTAAGGACAAGCTGAATATTTAATGGTTCCTTAGTCAAAACCATGAAATATAATAGAAGATACATTACAATCACAATAAGCAGCTTCCAGCACTGCCCCACTCGGAATTGATAATCAAAGAGCACCATCAGCAATGGGGCAGGAGGACACCTTTTATTTCTTTAAATTCCAAAGGGAAGTTTCAGCCTAATTACTTTATATATGATGCAGAAATTGTGTCCAGGGAATCTTTGACATCCAGTTCTGGCGAACGGAAATACTCTTAACTTATTCTTATCTGTGCTCTAATTTTTTAGTACTGTATGAATCACTGTCGTTCAAAGTTTCATTCACTTGAAGCTGTTTGAAAAGAAAATTTTGTTGGCGACGGAGAACCGGGCAGAAGATCCCCCCAAGTTCCCTATTTTAAGACCCAAAAAGTAGCCGCGTGGCATAAATGGAGGGGCAGAAAAGTTTCCAGAGGCTTTATCAGGGAATTAATTAAGAAATGGAGTTGAATGGTGTTGCCGGAGGAGAAGATAGAACTGCATAACTCAGACTCTGCTTTATTTAAAATGATGGCAATCATGGCTGCCCAAACCTAAGACGCATGCTTTCCCCACGTTTGTCGTTTAAAGAAGGTGAATAAATGGGCATTCAGCTGCTGTTATATTATTACTTGGATTGAGTATCTTTAATCTTTTCCTCAGAAAGGGGGGATGATGTTATATTCTGATCTCACCCACCCACGATTATCGTAGGAAAGAAATATGTTAATACAATATTTGTTTTCGGAATCAGATAAGAAGTTTCCAGCTCGTGAATGGCATTGAAATTTTTTATGGGATTTTTGAATAAATGGGCATTCAGCTGCTGTTATATTATTACTTGGATTGAGTATCTTTAATCTTTTCCTCAGAAAGGGGGGATGATGTTATATTCTGATCTCACCCACCCACGATTATCGTTAGGAATCGGTGACTGCCCACGTAAAGAAGCGTTTGTGTTGAGAGCATCATGGTGTATTTGACACTAATCCAATGATTTCAACACCTTATTGGGCTATATTCTTGGTACGATTCGTGACTCTGGCTCTTTTCACCGTTTTTACCCCACCCTACAAAGCTCTCGGCAAATCATGGCTCTTCCGTCTCTCTCTCTCCCCCTCTCTCTGTACGTACAAAGTGGAAAATCAGCTTGCCTTGTTTGGGTAAATATGTTACAGGCGGTACTCTGTCAATACATCACAATTACATTTTTTTTTAAGGATTAAGTTGTACATTTATTCCCAAATTCTCGCTTACAAGCAATGTTACATTGAATTTTTTTTTTTGAATTGAAGGTTGCCTTAAAAATATTAAAATAAAACAATATTACATCTTACTACTAAAAATGTCAATGATTAACGTCAGTTTTTTCACGATTAACATTGAGTTTAATAAAATGGGGTAACATTAGCACATTTTAAAACTTTTAAGACAAACTTACTTCTGAACGAAAATTTTTAAAACAAATTTGTACCTTAATCTTTTTTTTTTTTTAAAAAAAAAAGCAACTCGTGTTTTATAAGCCAACACATTTCTAAATTGTATTCACGAAATATCATCTTGTCTAGTGATATGGTGTTGCAATATATGCTGCCTTGAAAATATGTAAGAGGAAACTTATGTTAGAAAAATAAAATCATGGGATCATATATAAACAGGGCTTATCATCCTGCATTTATTATAATTCAATTATTATTACGTGATAAGAGATATGGGCTTTATTTATACAGGTCAATTACTATGCATGAATGTTTAGCTCGAGCACCCTGGGATTTCCTTACAAGATACAGTTGATATTTGCCATGCGGAAATCGAGAAAAATCCATATTGCCATGCGGAAATCGAGAAAAATCCATATAAATGGCTCCAATAATTTGACACAGAACGTCGACCTCCATTCTGCAAACCAATAAAATAAGCAACGAAATCAAAATTTCTTGCAACATGGTTTCACTCTGCAGCACCTATTTTCCTTCGTTGAGAAATGAATAATGCACTCTGTGATGTGCTTCTGACTTGAAGCGGCTCGTACTGTTGATGACCAAGAACTATAGAGTGTTTCTGCAACTTCAGTGGAGAATCCATTATCGCTAATGTCAAGCAATTGCAAGTGCTTTGCCATAGCAATAGCAGTTGAAAGTTGTTGAATGAATTTGCACTCAGGGGATGAGGAATTTCTTTGACACGAATCAGCACAATTATCATCAATTCCAGAAGCAGTGGCTTCGACTCTTGCCGGACCCTCTTCACTGTCGGCAACTTCAAGTAGATGATAGTCGGTGTTAAGAACACAAAGAGGCTCTTCACTATCATCCACTATCATGGGTAAATCCTCCTGACGAGTCTCTACAATTTGTGATCGTCCTTCAGCCGAGAAGTCGAGTTGTAAAGTGTGAAGTTCATTTGGAACGGCATTACCGGCAAGGTTAAGCTCCTCCAGGTAGTTGTTCTCTGACACAAACAACATAAATATCAAACAAAAATAGTTTCACAAGAATGAACTAACACCCGGATATGTTTTGTTGGCGTATTGTCTACCTGCTAGTGCCTCAGTTACGTGAAGAATTCCGGCAAGCCCAAGCTGACAGTTTCTAAGGACCAAAACTTTTAGGCAGCACTGTGGACTCATGAGAAGAGAAGATAGACAATTACTTCCCTGCATTTATTACAGATATCAGAACTCACTACGCTTGCATGCCAATAAAATTCAACCGGTAAAGAAATTGCAAGAGCAGCTAGATCCTAAAATACGGAGTGCGATGCATGTGCATTCTATGAATACTAGCTATACGAGTGAATAGTTGTGGGCAACAAACCTCGGGCGTAATAGGATTTCCTTCCAGATTAAGCTCAAGCACGGAACAGAATAAATTAAAACTAGTGTTTAAGGCAGAATTGGTTATGAGCTGACAATATGACAGATCAAGTTTCACGAGCTCTTGAATCCCCCGGGACAATGATTCCGCTAATTGCATTGCCCCTTCCTGCAAAAAATATCCCTCTCCAGTCAGAGGAGCCAACGACATATGCATGCTAGAATTTGAGATATCAAGTATATCAATAACCGACAGTTATATGAGCACATAGCAAGAAATCAACTCCACTCACAGTTCCAATGCCAGTGCTTCCGAGCATCAGTCCTGAAAAATTTGTATTCCCAGCAAGTTTGCACAGGGAATCAACAGCAGGTTTGCCTAGTTTTAGACCACTTAAGTTCAGCTCAGAAAACCTTCAATATACAAATGCAATTAACTTGATTTCTGGATATCAAAATAGTGCAAAAATAAAATGCTACCTAGATGCCATACATCAAAGTCTAATTACACCAACATTTTCATTGTAGAAAGCTTGGCGACGAGATTAACAACAGCATTTCCAGCTACAGGACTGTTGTATCCTGTCAAAGATAGACTTAACATTAAAGAAAAACTTACTCGATCGGCGATTCGTGCCTAGTTTTAGACCACTTAAGTTCAGCTCAGAAAACCTTCAATATACAAATGCAATTAACTTGATTTCTGGATATCAAAATAGTGCAAAAATAAAATGCTACCTAGATGCCATACATCAAAGTCTAATTACACCAACATTTTCATTGTAGAAAGCTTGGCGACGAGATTAACAACAGCATTTCCAGCTACAGGACTGTTGTATCCTGTCAAAGATAGACTTAACATTAAAGAAAATAACTTATATCGGCGATTCGAGGATACATGTTAGATTCATGATACCTATACAGAGCTGAGCAAGTACAGAGTTAGAGTCCAATGCATCAGCAATCTTTTGGATAGTTCTGGTTGTGATATGACAATTCTCCACATTCAAGCTATAGAGAGCTACAGAAGTAACAAAGCAGAAACACATGTAAATAGAAGTAAAAGTTTCCACCGCATGTATCTACAACACGCACAATCAGGACCGTAAGAGTATTTGTCAGAAGCATCTGCTCGACGTAGACTGCTCCGTAGTTCATAATAAATTGGCCATAAAATCAGAAAGTGGCCAACGGAAGGAAATGTTTCCGAGGATTTTGAGAGACTACGAAAACCATATTCGAATGGATGAAGGTGACGCAGCTAACCTGTACATTTCGCCAAGACTGTTGAGAGGTAAGACCCACATGCATCCGTAAGACGGTTCCCAGAAATGTTCAGCACTTCCAGTCGAGCAAATAGTGCCGGGCATTCACAAATCTGATAGAAACAAGGGCACACTTAACGAATTAGCAAATTGGATCGACTCTGGGGGTCAACGCAATTGGAACAGTAGACAACCCTCCTTTGACCAGACACCAGAAATTAATCGAGAATTTCGTTCGTTGGAATATCCTTACGTTATTCTGCTTTGAAAATGATTATGATGACCTTACTTTGGGAGCAAGGCAGTTGGAGGCCACTTATACATCATTTATTCAGAGGTTGGAGCCGTCCGTATTCGAATTCTTTCATACGGATCACAAATCTCAGGTGTATGCCTATCTACTGGATCACGGATGAAGTCACTTGCTGTTGAGACCTTCATATCTCAAATCTCACTAAAGTCCATGCTAAAGACAATGCAGCGACGAGCTAGACGTGCAAACGTGCAAAGGTTGAAATGGTTTAAGTTCCTGAAATAAAGCAGTTGGACCGAACCTGTTGCAATGCAAATCTAGAGTCAAGCCCCCATAGATTTGTCCTGATTCAGTGAACACCTTCTGAAGTTTCTCTCCATCGTCCCATTTCCTAAGATGCGGCAATCCAATGTAAAGCAAAAAATAATCAATCAATTGCACTCATTACACTGTTTTTTTATCCTTTTGTGTACAGTAAAGCATTTCATTCTGCACAACATACAGATGAGAACTATAGAGCAGTGACTAGCGAAAAAAAGGCTACAACCCAGCAAGATGTACCCAAGAAATTATGAGAGAGAGGTCAGGATTGCAAATGTTTTGTGCGAATGCAGCGCGTTTATCAACGGTGTCACTGACAGATCTTGCAAGTCGCAGTCGGACACAATGATCTCATCATCTGACACCTGATTGGCAAAACAAGAAGAAGCGACAATTAGTTAAAGGGGAAAAAAATGCAATCCAACCTCTGAAGTAGAAAATGAATACCAGTTCCTGTGAATCAGAGCGTTAATACACCTGAGTTCCTTCTTTACCTCTAAATTGTAAAGCTTCCTGAGTACCTTCATGTTTGCTACCTCAGACAACTCCTTGCAGCTATCTATGTACATTTTTACAAGACGCTTTTGAACCCATCCTGTATATAATAAAAATTAACTTTTCGCTCATTTGAAGATATACGGTCATTACAGTATAAAAATAACATTCGATGACAATACAGATCCTGCAAAAGAATAGACACCTGATTTATGTGAGGATTCGTTAATAAGCACTTCTCTCTCATGCCGATGCTTACGTAAATTGCAGATCAGTGCAAGCTAAATGACAAGGAGCTAGATAAAATTTAATCCACCGGTAGTTATAGTATTCCAATCGGCTTCACGATTCAAGTATTTGTGTGCATCACATTTGTGGCAAACTGTAGGAGAGAACAACTTATGGCAGTTCTTTACTTATTTACGAGTTTTTTTCCTATTTAATTTTCCCATGTGTGCATAAAGTCGAGTGCATGGTAGAATGATTCCCTAGTAAAATGGTCCAATGGACATAAAGCAGTTGCATCACATACCAACAATTTCAGCTTCAACAACGTCATTTCCCAGATGTTCCTCGAAATTTTTGACAGTTTCCGGGGATTCTATACATCTTCCAGCACATTTCAAGCGTTGAAAAACGGGCAACAAACCTACTGATATAAATTTTATATTTAGTACAAGACAATCAATCAAACTGAAAGAAAAGTAGGAAACAGCAATGACAAAAAACAAAAGGAAAAAAAAAGAAAAAAGAAAAAGAAAAAGCTGATGAAGTAAATGTATAGAAGCAGATGGTAAGAGTTGGATATCGGTACAGTCACGAAAGACTTCGTGGGGAAAATATAGATATATAGATTCAGACCCCTGATAACGCGTCATATTTTTGGCTCTTGCTGCATAATAATTTGTCTCACCTTCACATGGACAAAAAGGATTCCCAAATTCAGGTGTTTTTTCAATTCATACCAACACAATTTTTAAGTTGGATCAGCACGTTATTATCTGAGTTTGACAATTATGACTGAGACAAAAAGCCTTTGAAATTGAAAAACTCTACCTTCAGATTTTTTCTCTATGGGAAGTTGCAGATAGTATAAGCATGCAACTTCGGCCTTCAAAGACTCAATATTCAACTGAGCATCAACAATACATGAAGTTGCTTCCACGTGAATAAAGTCATTTTCAATCTTGCATGTAATATATTGCTGCGAGTAGAAAAAAAGGAGAAAGGGAGCAGAGTTTAGAAAAATATCATTAGCAACAAAATGAGCACGACAGTTCGGTGAAAGCAAGAATCAATAATATTTCCTAATTCAAGCCATATCAAAGTGGAACTTACGTAATTTTCAAAATTCTGCAAAACAGGACGGGCAACATCAACATCATGTTGCAATAGTTTCCCAGAAATATTCGTATCACATTTAGAACTACCAGCAAAATCAGGTTCAGCAATCATATCATTGCTCAAAGATCTGGAACGTCTGCCAGCTATGCTACTTCCACGAGGACTCGTGCATTTGAAAGAACTACTGCTTTCCTCAACATTAATTGCACATTTGGATCCACACAGCAAGTCAACCTGCCGGCTCAAAAAGGCAGAGCTTCCACACGCTGGGTAAAATTATATTTAAGAAGCATTAATTCAAGCTACAAGGAATACTTTAGAGGTTCTTTACCTGAAGCTTACCAGCAGGACTGGCATTTCTCGTACTCTTAGCTGCGACCAGAAAAGTCAATCTATACTCAGTGGGGTATAAGTTAGTTTAAGATTCAAAACACCTAAAAATCATACTCACTTGCATCACAAGTGGCGGCATCCTTTAATAGGCCATGATGATCCTTTCCGACTAAACATTCCATCTCAGCATCATCATTATCAGAAAGAATTATGCGGATGCGTTTACGACCGACAACTGCCTGATTATTATTGGTAGGATTTGGATAGTTTTCAGGTGACTGCTCAGCTTGTTTGAGAGAGTTGCTTGGACTTTTATGACCTGTGCTTTTTTTAGATGAACGTCTAATGGACTGACAGAGAGACATCAGTGGCGCATCTTCATTCAACTCTTCTTCAGCGCTTGTATTTTTTGATCGATATGATGTCTTGGGTGAGCAGAAGGCATCAGACCCACTATCTGACAGATAACAATTTGCTTCTGTGTCAGTCTCAGAGCAGTAGTCTTCTGGCATATTTTTTGTTTCCGGCTCTTTCTCTATTGACTTCTTCAGCTTATCAATTAGGTTTTTCAACCGCCTATAAAGAATCAGAGTTTATCAATGATAATTGAAGAGATGAGTTAAAAATTACTATGACGGTTTTTTTTGGGGGGGGGGGGCATAAAATGGACTACGCTAGCAGATTGCTAGATTTTGCGATGTTAAAATGAGTCCATGTCTCCATGGACAGAATAATTTATGTGCTAGTCCAATAGTCTATATAAGGATCATAAGCATCCGTGAATTAGATACCTAGTCTCATTCTCATCATCAAATCTTATCATGTTGCTATAGTGCATATTCTCCAGAGCAGAAAGCTGCACTGAATGAAGGTTAGCTTCAACAGCAATCCTGCAATATCATGTAAGCAAAGGAACACGTGTCAGGAAAACCATAGAAAGCTAGCCAAAAAGGATACGCATCAGTAAACAACTCTACAGTGCCCGTTTTATCATATAAAAACAAGATGGCATGAGCCAGGGTCATCTATGCGTTGTACTCTCAGTATATATCAAGATTCTCACTATAATAGTTCAATTCAATTATAAATTAGAAACTTAAAGCAAGAATCTCAACGTGCCACTAAGGGTGAGAAACAGAAAGGTCGTCTATTCCTGTGAGCTTGAAATCCATGGAATCACTGCATCTGATAGAAGAGTTTATCAGAGCAGTAACTGCGGGGATTTTGAATACACCTTGAGAGGTAGACGGAGGAGACCGGGTTACAGTCATGTGATGAAGATTATTCAATACAATCTGTACTCTGCTAAGCCATTTAAGCAAGGACAAAAAACTACATGATGAGAACATTCAACACCTCGCAAGAAAACAGGCAAACACCTGGATCTCTCAAATGTACAACACACTGACAATATGTAGGTCATGGTTTGCATGACTTATGCATTCCTAGATCTATCAAAAGAAGAGGGGACAACCAGCGTATTCAACATAAACTTGACTCCATAGAGATCCATTATATTTATAAATCAATATCTCCCTCAATATTCTCATCACCTGTAGCTCTCTTGAAATGCATCCAATGCTCCTCTCCAATTGCGAGCAGAATCAAAAACATTACCAATATTAATCTTTACTAGAGCTTGCCCCTATCATCATTAGCAGCAAAGCATAAGAACCAGCAAATCAGCATGTTGCATAATGAACCATGGCGGTATGCATATTCTGTCATACCAATTTTATCTCAATAGTAACTACAAAGAATAAAATTTGCAATACTATTAATTACCTATTAGATCAAGTATGCATGGGTTGGAGGTTCTAATTCGCATTATGTATCAATTTCAGATGAAAACTTAAAGTGAAAAAAATGATGACAACATATTCAATGTCTATGGAACAGGATCAAGCTTACCTCTAAATTACCAATAATTTTGTACGTTTCTAGGCTTTTTGTGTACCATTTAATTGCTTTATTGAATTCCCTGAGCTTCTGGTAGGATTCTCCCACAGCCATATATGAATCGGCCACCTTTTCCTTGTCACAAAGTTCACGGGCTATTTTCTTCTTCTTCTTTGCAAATTTGCAATGCTAAGCATTTCACATAAAAAAATGATAATTTAGTGCCTGCTAATCGGCGCTTCAAAAGACCTCTGCATCCACAACATAGTACTAATATGCAGCCAACTTATTTAAATGGAAAGGAAATAGCGTATCTGGGAGTTGGAGAGCAACACAAATTCATGATATAAACATATATGATAACTGATGAGCCTAGGACTAGTGCTTCACTAACACAAATATTCGTGCATTACCAAATAATCTTCCACTAATTCTTGACAGTAAATTTAAGCATATGCATTCCAATTTTAGCCTGATGATGCTTTAGCTAGTTGAGGAGGGAAAGAACCAAGGTTATCCATAATCATTCATAAGTGCAGGAAGCATCATCTCCTGAAAGAAACATAAGGAAAGCTAACCGATGGAACTTTATTCTTAGGCATGAGAAAAGGGAGCCCTAAAAGTTTCAGAACCATAGAGCTTAGCCATCTGTCTTTTAAAATTGTGACTGAGCATGTTACAAAGATACTGAAACATTAATTGGTGCAGAGACGATAAGCGTTTAATGAGAGGTTTTAAAAATGAATGGCCTCATCAACACTTCGACTTCAAAGTTTTGGGGGAGCAATCATTTCAAGACAAACATATTTGTGATTTTGATCTAATAAAATGATGGCACATGCACAAACATATTTATGATTGCTACCTTCTCCCATGCAAAAATTGTGCCGTATTTCTCGAGGAGGCAATCAATGGATTTATTTAGCAGCAGCAGATATTTCCGCTCCTGTGGTGTGCCTCTTGCAGTGGCCACATCTCTTTCAAGCTTTTTGAAGTTCTGCTCTTCTTTCTTTAATTCATCCATTACCTTGTTAGCTTCATTTATGATTTTGATATTCTGATGAATTTGCCTGAGCAAAGCATCCTCGTCTTCCAGGGACTGTGCCCGAAGCAGAGCCTTTTTGTAACACAAAAGGGCTTCCTCATACTTTTGAGTCCTGTAATTCACTTCACCAAGATTAATATAGCCCTTTGCTTCCCCTTGACAGTGTCCAATTCGGTTACAAATCTGAATATCCATCTCAATATTATTTCTAGCTTTATTCCAAATTCTCAGTTCCATATACACGTTCCCGAGGTTATGATGCAGCCTGCTGCGCCCATCATCATCTCTGCTGACTTCTTCTTCATCGCAAATCTTAAGTCCTCGGCTTAGGATTTTCTGAGCCTCTTCTAAGTTATCAAGTTCCATTTCAAGCATACCTCTGTTGTTGTGTGCATCAATATATTCCTTCACATGGGAAGAGTAACTAGTCGGCGGGTTTTCCTTAATAATCTGTGCCAGTTCCATAGCAGACTTAAAGTAATTTTTGGCATTTCGTATTGAGTTGTGGTCATGCTCTGATCTTGAAAATAGTTCATAGTAGGTACGACCAAGTTGGGTGCTGGCTCTTTGCTGCTCAACAAGGTCATTGGCATCCCTGGCAAGCTCCAAATGCTTTTTCTACAAGGGAAGGGAAGCAGGGAAAAAGAAATTAATTTTCTAAAGAAATAATTGTGATTGACTGTCAATGTTTTCGATGAATTTTTTTTTTTTAAATAAAAACGCCAGTATGGATACTCGATTACAGAAGAAAGTGTTACAGCGTAGAAACTGATAAACTTCTCGAGGGAAGTTAATAATTAAAGAGCCTGGCTGAGTAAGGCTTCATGCCGCTAGATAAATTATGGGTGTTCGATAATCTTTACTTTTGAGTAATAATTTCATGTCCAATTTGTGATCTAGATAGACTGAACCTAAAATCTCGGAGAGAAGAAGCTTCGTCATCTAATTTGAAAAACTATCCTCTACACCAAATCAAATAACAATCGTTGACCAAGTGAAATGGTGATATGCGAGCAACCCAACTCGAGCTCAATCATACCTGGTAAGTAAGAGCATCAATGAAATGCTCAAGTCGAAGGTAGATCTCTCCAAGGGACTGGCAAGTTGGGAGCAAATGCTTCTCGGGCAAATATTTGAGGGAAATATCATAATCTATACGAAGCCATTTGAGGGCCTCAACGTATTCTCCCCTGTTCTTCAGCAAATCCCCAATCACGTTCGCCCACCTTGCCTCCTCCCTCCGATTCCCCTCAGCCTTGGCATTCCGGTAAGCTGTCTTGGCCGCCTTCAAGTGGCCATCCTCTCCCGCCATATTTTGAGTTTTGAGATTACTAAAATGACAATGAACACTGACGTCGGCGGCCCTTTAATAAAAAATTTGAATCTTTCTACGGTTCGGATTCCAAATCTGAAAGTTGGTTCTGGCGTTCCGTTCCATAGCCGATCGATACCGTCCCACAGTATCGACCAGTTACCCTCGCGCCTCCTATTCCAGATTAGAAATGAATTCCCGCCAAAAACATGTTCCTTAATTAACATTTTGTATTTCAATACTATCTATTTAATTAACTTAAATTAAAATAATAAATAAAATTAAAAAACTACGAATACCTAATAAAAAAATTAGATAAAACTATAAGAACCTTATAAAATTAAAAAAAAACTACAACAACCTATATAAAAACAGGTGAAAGTGGAAGGATATAGTGAAAAAAAAATAACAAACACCTAATTAAAAATTAATTGAAATTATAAGGACTTATAAATTAATTATCCCTTTATATTTTTGGAACATATTTTTATATCTTTCAGCCTTGACTTCAACAATAATATAGAGCAAAAATAAAAAATAGAAGAGATCTTACATATTTTAAAGATGTCTATATACAATAACATATGCCTATAATTTTCTATAAAAGTTGATAACATTAAGTTTAATAAACATAAAGATTGATTTAATTTTTCACCCGTTATTAGTCTATGTTTCCGGGAAAAAAAAAGAATAAGTGGATTTTAAATATTAAGAGAATTTAAAATTTGGGTAAAAAGGAATTAGTTACCAGTTAATCCATGAGTAATAACAAAACACATATATTTTGGTTTCTCTGAAAAAATATCTTACCCATATAAATTCAAGTGCATAATTTTTCCAACAAAAGATCAAATAGTAGGGAAAATGACACAAAAATTATACTTGAACTTAGAAATCTCAAAATAATTACTTGAATTTGTAAAATCCCAATTTAGACATAAGTGACTAATTTGGAATTTGTAAATTTACTAAAATAACTGTATTGGCACCATGGGCATTTTGTTTTTTAAAAAACAATAAATAAAATAAAGGGTTATACAGTTATTTTAGTAAATTTATAAATCCCAAATTAGTCACCTATGCTTAAATTGGGATTTTGCAAATTCAAGTAATAATTTTAAAATTTTTAAATTCAAGTGTCATTTTTATATCATTTTTCCTAAATAATATAACAGAAGTTAGAGATGTGAGATTTTTAAAATTAAAACCGATGTTCAATAAGTATAATATCATACAGTTCATGAATTGAATTGTGATAATCTTACATTAAATTAGGAGTGTTCAACTTGCTGTCCTAATCTCAGTCAATCCGGGACGGGATGAAACTAGTACGAGATGGGACACCGGACAAGGGCATCTTGTCCCGAAATTTTTTCAAAATTTATTTATTAATAATTTTTATTAGATTATTCAATTCTTTTTTAAGAATAATTATTTTTCATGATGATTTTTGACACTTAAGTTGTAATATTATCTTAATAAAATCTTCTTCCTCAATAAAATAATTTATAAAGTCATTATATATGATTTCTTTTATGGTAGTTCTTTTTTTATAGTATTTTTTTTACATTTTTGTTGCATTATATAATTGGGCTTTCTATATAATATTTTTTTCAGTATTTTTTTATCTTCAAAAGTCCAAGACAGGCTTGTCCTGGTTTCGCCCTATTCGATGAGTAGGTTTACATTCAATTATTGTTATTAGATGTTAGTACACAGAGCCTTTATTGAAAAGTCTGTCCCCACAGAGTCCCAAGGTTAATCACTCTTTGAGAAATCACTTAATGAATTTATATAGATTAGAAATTAATAAATTATTTTATTTTAATAAACACGATGTGATCCCCCAACGTTAAATTATATATTAATTCATAAATTTAATAAATTATTTTAAAAATAATAATATGAGAGATACGAAGGATTAAAGTCTTGTACTAAAATCAACATTTTAGTAACTCCTACATTTAAAGTTGAAAGAGTATAATTTTGCAAAGTCTGGCATGATAAAATATATCCACATCATCAAGCTTTCATTCTCAACCGACTTGAAATTTTGTTTCCTTGAAATATGTCAATTATTTAAAATTATCATGTAGCGTCCACCTTCAAGTCATGTATGACCATAGAAAACTGATTCTTGAGGACTTGCATCAGTCACAAAGTCAAAAGAAAAAAACGAGGGCTACTACTAAGAGGTATTCCTCCGGTCCTAAATATAAAACCCTTATATACACTAGTATAAAGGTTTTATATTTAAGATCGAAGGAGTAAATCTGATAGGAAGGGAACACGTTAACAGAAAAGAAGACAAAAGATTGCAAGGAGATAATATGCTGATGAATGATATCAACACTTAAGAGCCTGTTTGGAGCACAGAATAGTTTTATGTCGATTCATGTAAAACATATTTATATGTAATTTTAATCATAATATCAAACAGGGTCTAAGTCCTTCGAACTATCGAGCGAAAAAAATTTATTTGAAAGGCAAAAAATCTGATTGCATCACAATTTTACAAGGGGGAAGTTTTCTCTCTTTCTTTCTTTTCCATGACACGAATTATCATACAACTATTTCATTTCAATTTTCATACAATCGCAACAAAACAAATGCAAAGCTGTTTAGAATCATTTGTGGCCTATCAATTCCCAGCTCCAACCTCTTGCCTTTGCATGTTTTGGTCAACAGTCAAAAACATTGACCGGATAGATTGTCTGTAGCACAACCAAGCACCATGCTGCTTTGAATCGCCGCTTACTCTTCTCTTAACTCCTCTCGATTCCTGGACTGTTGCTGGGACCCGTGACTTATCTTAGAAACCTATGGCCATAAAATTCATCAAAAGATAGACGCTCCTCTGCAACATTTTGGAAACACCTCAGTACTAAATAGATCTCCATGAGAATTTCAGCTAATTGATACTGATGAAGATAATAATTTGACGTATTAAAAGCAACGTGCATGACCTGGATTTAAGCACAGTAGTCTAGAACACATATCAAGACAGTCAGGGTCTAATTCTGAAAGGATTCGCTGAGAAAATGGAAGACATCCGCAGGATCTGATATTCTTCAACAGCTGAACTCAGCAATATAAGTTAAATGGAACCAACGAGAACAGATTCGATATACACTGTCTAAAGTTAGAGTGTTACCTGTACATTATTCCTTCCGTTGAAGGGTGGATAGCCATTTAGAAGCTCAAAAAGAACGGCACCAATACTCCACATGTCTGCCTTTAGTTATTAATTAAACTCTTCAGTCTGCTTATTTATTATTGATCAGACACACACGGACACGCGCACACAGCTCATACCTTATCATCATATTTCTGGAACTGAAGAACTTCAGGAGCCATATATAATGGAGACCCACAAACGGTCTCGGCGTATTCACCTGGATGCAATGTTCTATTCGCATATGGAAGGAAATTGAGTTATCAAGTAAGCCAAAGTAACAAATAGAAACAAGAAAATATAAAAGCTGCCTTCTACCTCAAATTCACTCCCCTAAACCGATAACTACCTTGATAGACCAAAATCAGCAATCTTAAGCACTGAATCATCATCCCCTTGGCTTGATAACAAGATGTTCTGGTCCAGCAATGGCCCAAAGCAAGCAAATTTGTTTCTAGTCTCAGAAGTACATTCACTATAACTAAGCTTGATAACAAATGTAGATATGCTGATGCAAAAATCACTCGTGATTATGCTGGCATAAACCACATTAGATTTTTTTCCCCCTTCTTTTTTGTTGTCTTTGAATGTGAATTACATCAGAAAATATAAATTTTACCTCTGGCTTCAGGTCCCTGTGAATGATACCCCGAGAGTGCAATATTTCTAAAGCAGAACCTGCATCACAACAGCCAACCGTAATAAGCCAAAGCTCTTATGAACCATCACAAAAGTAAAAAGTTCAACGTAATAAAATTGCAGATAAGTTACCAAGATGCTGCATGAATTTTCTAGCTATTTGTTGCTGAACCCTCCCATGGCGCTCAATGTAAGAAGCCAAATTTCCTCCAGCACAAAACTCCAAGACCAGGTATATACATCCATCTTCCTATTCTCAAAGACAATAAGCTTAAATTAAGCTGGGAATAAAGCAAACCGCGTAATGATTAGACTTGTTATCATTTTACTACAGTTTTATATGTCTTAACGCCTGCCAATACTGCATCCTTAAGGCTCGGGCAGAAAAGAGATGAGTCCATCCATATCAGGCCTTGACATATGGAGATACTTAAATTTAAGTAGAAAAACTAGTTCATGACACGAGTATGCCAAGCTCTACACTCAGTAAAGTTGCAAGAAACAAAAATTTGGGAACAGAAAGGAGAAAGGCAGGCAACCCATTATCTCTGGCCAGAATCACAGGGTCGTAGACAACAGTACGAACTACCAGATAATCTGAACCGTGAGAAACGAAACAAATATAGCAGTGTAATTCGCTCTTAATCTTCTTTGAAGTCGTGTGAACTAAATGTAATGTACCCTGTAGTTGCGGATCTGTGTTCACATATACTCTAACTGAGTCCCATCGTGCACGCATCTCTAGTTAGTTTTGATTCACAATTACATTTTGTATAATTCTATATCATCAAGTTGTTAGCAAGCTCAATACTTTTGCACCAGATATCGTCAGTCGCGCAGGTTTGTGCGGCAATTAATCATCTTTTTCTCTACGCTTCATTACAGATAAACACGCGAGGTTAAATAAATCAAGAGCCAAAAAAAAAATTGCTGCAAGTCCAGTGCAAATCAACGATTTGATCCAGAAACCGCAAATGGTGAGACTGGGGGGAGCTGCTCGAGACCGAAATTAACAGAAAAGGACGAAAACTCGAAAAGCCTCAACCATGGATCAAACTCTTCCAAATCTGAAGTTCGCATTGCATCTCAGTTTTCGTAGCGTTGAAAATTTGAAAATGAATAGAATGGGGAGGCTGATGAACCTGGAAGACGTCGAGAAGGCGAATTATATTGGGGTGGTTGACAGAGGATAAGAGATTGATTTCACAGTCAAAGCTGCTCTTGAGACGTCGATTGAGTCTGGAAAGGCAAACTTGTTTCACTGCCACTTCATCGCCGCTCAATGCGTGCTGGGCTCTCCACACAGTGGAGAAAGAACCTTCCCCGATTTTCATCTTAAGAATATAGTCTCCTACCCTAACGTTTTTGGAGATAATGAACGCGGCTTTGGATTCCATGTTTGATGCAACCCAGCAAAGCCATCGATGGCCCCGTTCTACGAATTTCTAGGAACTGTGTCGAAGGTTCAGTTGAGTCTCTTCGCCCACTGCTATCATACACGTGGCATCTCCCATTGCACTGAAATCATCAACCTCTGTAATTAAAAAATTTTAGAATAGAAAATAATAGCTTCTGATACTTATAATTACTCTTCTAATCCTATTTATAAGGTATTTTTAACATATTTTATATAAACCAAGAAAAATCCTAAAATACATTAACTCTTTATTAAAATATAATAATTTTTTAACTTTATCCATATTTAATATATGCAACTTTAAAAAAAATAACTACTTACAACATAATAAATAAAAACAAAATAGTATATTCACATTAAAAATTTAATAAAGTGATTTGTAAATTTAAAAAAAAAAAAAACCTTCTGCTTAGGATCAGAGGAGTATTGTTTTTTTTTTTTTTCCTCCCTTTGAGACTTGGAAAACTCTCTAAAGTTCAAACTCAATTACGTTGTGTAAGCATGCATTTTCTTGGACCACCGTTAGATGATCCCAGTCAGTGCTAAAGTGAAGACGGTTGTGATGGTCATTTTGCTCCAGCTCTGGCTATTCAATCTTATCTTCTGCGATATGCTTGTTGTATCTCATGAACGCAAACTAGTATATGGCTAACGAGGCAGCAGAAGTTATTATTCTCTTTACACTTTCACGCACCAAAAGACTTTGTAATTAGCATTTAGCAAATACCGTATACATTTACAGCCAGAATAGTGCAGGAAGAACAGACAATGGTAATTATATTTACAGTTTCAACTGGTGAATCCATACAGTTTCAAGAAAGATCGAAATTCGCATATTCCCCGGGCGCCGCTCTACTCATCAGCGATCCCTGTCATTACTCGTTAAATCAGACATCACTAACTGAAACCGAGCACAAAAATATATTGCCACAACAAGAAGTCCAGTCTTTTTGACCTTGTCACTTGGGCACCTTAACTTCTTGTCGGTACCCAGATTGAGGCAGCTGTTAAAGGCGTAGACTTCCAACAAAGAGACAATCTGCGCTTGTCATATTGCACCGAATAGCCTCCACCGAAGAGGCTCACCAAGAACTTGGCTTGAGAAATATTGCACGTACTCACAGGAACTCGTTTAAACCCTTTCAAGGAATTCAATCCTTCTTCCCACAAAGTTCTCTCCTCCCTTTCACAAGGAAACTGCCTCACACTGTCTATAATCCTAATCCCCAGAACTTCTTTTTCTATCAACTTCATCTTGTAGTCGTCCCAGAAACTACTTTCAAGTGAATCAGAAATTGCTGTATAATGATGCAAAGCCTCATAGAAGAACTCCACAAAGGACATGGATTTAAGCCTAGAAAAATTGAACAGTTCATCTTCTACTAAAATAACAAGTTTAGGTGATAATTTGCTGACGCCATCCAGGAAAGTTTTGATCTGCGAGAAACTCCTGCTGGGCATCCACTGGTGTATCATACAATTGACTATAAGTGTATGACGCAATATGATTCTTCGAAAATCTTCTTCCCTAGTGATCATTATTTGATCGAATGTGAATGAGAAATTGATAGAAGCAGCAAACTCTTGTAATCTTCTTCCCGTTTGTTGGGCGACGGCGGCACTTTGATGGTCCAATGTGATGGCTGTTACTCTGAGGGTGGTGTTCTTCCTCATTGCAAGGTCAACCATCAAAGGCGGCCACTGGATCCCCTCCGTGATGTCAAAATCGATGACATGGATCTCTCGATCATCTTCAGTGGCTTCAAAGATCGCTTGGTTGGCTGTAAAATGAGCAAATTTCACATAGGGAGAGAGCTCCTGGAGAATCTGAAAGGTGAAGAAAGTGTTTGTCTGGGTAGAAACAGGCTCATGGTTCACCGCAGGAGCGTTTATGGTTTTACAATGCAGACCTTGAGTAAAGAAAAGAGCCAACCTGTTCAATAAACTATCCCCACTTTCTACACACAAGTCGTCGTTAATCTTCTTAATGATGTCTGATGCTAGAGCCCAGTTCTGTGCTTCAACAGCTTCAGCCCCTGTCAGCAAGAGATCAGCTAAACTGCTATCTTCCATTAGCGCAGCTTGAATTCCCATTAAACAAGGATCGCCATTTTCCTGGCATCTCGGAGTAGTAACTTCTTGGTTCAATTCTGTCTCTGTCCCCACGGGGACATTAGGATCCATCAAATCGAAGTCCAGAAGCTCTGTATGTGGCTGCTGTAGTAATCCTTTAATAAACTCTTGATCGAGCACCACATCTTGTGAGGTATTTGGACAATACTCTGTCTGGAATGGAAATGCATTTTCTGAGCTATATTCATGGAGTTGATACATGTGGGAGGGGCAGAAGGAGTGATCAACTAGCTCATAATCCATCCCACTCATGGCTGATAATGAAATGGGAAGCTCGTAAACGGTCTATAAGCTGAAGATTTACACAAGTATATAAGAAAAATGGAGAGGAATCCGTGTATTAAAAGGTTGACAAAATTGTGTCTGTAGATAGACGTTGCACAAAGTGAAGCATGGTGTGGGATAAGAATTGGGAGATGGATGAATAAATGCACAGGAGACATTGCTTTATATACACGATTTTATGCACCAGAGCTAGCAGCACGACACGGGACATCATTGATATGTGGAAAATTTTATAAAACTGGAGCAGTGATCACTAATAAAGCCAATGCATGAACCTGAACTACATTGCCAGGTGTCACATCCCCACTGCTCTCGTACATTAAACAATATTATATACTCAAGAATTTAACGGCCAGACATGTAGAACGCAAAAACGAAAAACCCATTGAACCTTAATATGCAACCTGAACCTGTTTTAGGCCTCAACAGCTGTCAAATAACTAAAGTAGTGTTAGCTTTTGCTATTTTATTACAGGTGCTGTACTTGTAGAATGCAGATATGATTTGCAGGGACTGTTGGTGTCGGTTAGAGCAATGTAGGCCTGGAGAAAATGCAACTGTTCAGAACCGGGTGCAGACTTCAACATGATTTAAGTTTAGTCAGAGAACACGATGGGTGGTGGACACGTGGAGGATGAGCGATGGTCAGAATATATCCAATCAAGGTTCTGCAAACTATGACAAGGAGCTTTATATTAATAGTTTGGACAACCGAAAGGAAACAAAAGTTGATGAGGTGATCGATGAGGTTAGAAGCATTTAACAAGCCTATCTGTGGGCTTTTCGAAACTTTGTTAAACCGGGAAAACTGATGGTATCGAGCATATTCTCTGGCTATTGGTTGTGATGTTGTCTCTTGCAAGTTGTTTTCTCTCGGCGGAAAATGTAATATAAACAGACAGAAGCAAGTCCGCGATTGAGGACGCAAGAGTAGAATGCAGAAAGCAACATTTGGGAGTTTCCCTTAAAAGTGGAGATAGACAGGCTAAACTTTGGATCCTGCTAGTCAACAAACATTGTGTATATGCACCTCCCTGCGTAGATGTGTAAGAAAATAATGTCAGCATTTAATCAAGTTTATGCATAAGTCTGCTTGAGATGGAGAAATCTTCATTACTATTTTGGGAAGAACCGAACCGGGGAGATTAAGGTGTGGAGGAGGGAAGGGAATATTCTTTGGTTTGATACTCGAGGGTAGTTGACATGAAGGATGGAGATTTTAAATTTGCAGTCAATTTACAGTATACTGATATGATGCATCTGACCTATAGAATGAAGCAAGCAAAGTTGCTGACTATTTTGATATTTGTATCCCAATCACTTGTACATATACCATTTCATTCATTCATCGTTGTTATCAGCTTCAAGTTCTGACATAGCTCTGTCTATATTCTCCAACTAGGGCGCTTTTGAAAATTAAAGCTAGAAGATCTTTGAGAATAAAAACCTATATGATAATCTACGTACGATATTATCAAAGACCTTAATAGGTCATCATATTCATAAGACATGCTTTCAAATTCTATAAAAGATACAGTTCCACAATAGTCTATGATTAAATAGAATGCATCCAAGAAACAGCAGTTAATGGGCTACTTTGGTGTAGTGATGGCGACAACTGTGGAATAGCAAGCTTAATTGCCTATCAAAACAAATTTGCGCAGATCAACTCTGGTTGTCGGCCGCTTTATTGGGCCCCCCGTCTATGTATATCTTTCTTTCTTTTTCTGTTCAACTAAACTAACTTCGGAAGCGTCCAAAAACCTTGGCTACTAGCCTAGTACCTCCATTACCAATAATTCGACCTTCTAAATTATCAATCATCTTGCATCTTCCTAACAGTTTGGCTTTTGTGTAAGTTCTCCATTTTGAGATTCTCTTCAGAAACTGACCACCAAATGATCCCCTGTGTTGTCATTCATCTTCACATTTTTCTTCCCCTGCAGCGTTATACAAAACTGATCTTCAATTTTCATCGCTCACAGCTCCTTATACCGTGTAGTTTCCAAGTCAGAAATAACCATTCTTTTCTTCAATTTGCTTACTTAAACTTTCCAAACACGTCACCGTACATGTTTGGAAACTATACTTTTGAGCTCTTCTAGGGGCTTCTTGGAAAGCTGGAAGTTTCAAGACACCGTTCGCACTGTTAAGTTTATATCCAGAGCTTTTAGCCTTTCTGCTTGTACCCAGCACTCTACCTAATTTGAGATTAGGCGACATTTTACTCGCTGCTTTCCCTCGTCGGATTTTGTGTAGTCCTTAGAATTAATTTGGGCGCAGTATATTTTTTTAACATCTGCAAAATATTTCATGTAATAAATTTTTAAATATTGTTGGTAAAAGAATCATTTTTTTCAAACATTATCAATATGTTATAAGACGTATAACAAATATTGTTCACGTAATATACACAAGGCTCATTTTCTTTTTATAAATCTAAAACAATGCGTATTTTACTTGTTTAAAGCTTTTTTTCTTTTTGTTTTGCAATTTTGTACTCGATGTTTTACTGTGAAATGCAATGTTCTGTAATGTAATATGCATTTAAAAATAATCATAAAAATAAAAAAACACATAAAATTTTTCTCTCATAGAAGTCTAAGCATATATAATTTACTGAGAAAACTAATTATACATGAAGATAAATGATACGTGAATATAATTGGAAGAAAAAACATAAATGAGCATATATTATGGGAATGAATTCTAAATAAGTGAGCCTTGAAGTGACAACACTAAGAAATAGCTGCGTCAAACGTAAGATCCAGTTACATCTTTTTGGGTTGAGTTCAAATCCAAGAGGAGACACATTTATAGAGACGAGAACCTACAAACCCCAAGCCGGATTAATCAGTTGCTTGAATGCTTGATAATAAGATCTGAAAAAAGCATCGGATATCAGATAATAATAATAATACACACATACAAGAATCACTAACACATTTGCTTCGGGCATTTGCACAAGACGCGTCCCAGTATGAGACGTTAAAAGCACGTCTAACTCCTTGAATAAGCCCACTCATGAATAGTGAATCTTCCTTACTAGGAGTTCTCGACCCTGGCATAGCCGGGTTGACATTGCTCCCTTCAAGCATAGAAGGCTAAACCTATATCGACCGATATGGATTGTAAAGGAAGCTTTCAGTATTGAAAATCCCCACCCCTATTAACGAAGCAAGAGTTTGCCTGATCTCATATATGGACTCCGAAGGGGACTTTTAAGATAGAACTTACTGAATTAGATTACTCGGTTTCTGTTAATACTTCTCAATATCGTATCCAGTTGCATAATGGAACTCACAAACTCGCTATGCCCGCGTACTTTAGCGGGCACATTAGACAAGCATACCTCCTCTATCTAAACTTTCAGGCCAATGGACATCCATCTCAAGACATTTGAATATCAAGGCCTTCGGAGTTCAGATAGCAAAATGGATTGTGATTTATGAGAGGCGAACAAGACCTAACAGCACAACAAGCAAAAGCATTTATATGGAAAACGTGGGGCGCTCAGCAGTCCTAAAATTAAGCTGTTCTGCCTCATTATATGCATTGAGTAGCCATTTACAGAATATAGTTATTTACACAGGATAAGACAATGCCAGACAAGCTAAACCTGGTCATTCCATCAAAACTATGGAGTCGTGGACCTAGTCACGTTTATTTACAAAAGGAATGACAGATCCTTCAGCTGGTGTTCCCAGCTCGGGGCAAAAGGGGGGAAAAACAGTACGTATTTTACAGAATCAACAGAACAGTACTGTGCTTCTGCCAGCTCTCACTCTGCATTAGTATAATTTAACTATAGGGCTTGCTATCTCGAATAAGCAACGAGTTTTTCATCTCTCTGTAACCTTGGAACTCTTCCAATGCCTCGGCTGTTGTTTTCCTAGTTAAGGACCCAGAAGATATCATGCTCGCCGAAGTTGGCGAATCTAGGATCTGATTGTCCTCTCTAGTTTTTATGCTATATGTTTGAGGCCTCGCACCTTGAGAGAACTCTTCTAAAGTGCGGGAGTCTTGACGCAAAGGTGGTGCGTTTCTCAGCGTACGTACAAGGGCACCAACCGCAGCATCCTGGGACTTTCTTATAGGATATAATCCTCCAGTTTCGGGCACCTCCCCCATATGACCACGATCAAAAGATTCCGGTCTAGCATATAATGAGGAAGCAGAATAAATATTTATGCATAATAGGTGGAAACAGGGGTGGGGTGAAAATTTTTGTCACAACCAGCTGAACAAAATGTAGCAACCATACCCCGATTTTCCGTTAAAGTATCAACAGGAACAATCCCTCAATGTTGACTTATCACCAAGAACAAGAACTAATTGAAATGTCAATTAACAGGGAAAACATGTTTACCAAGGTCCCCACCCCATGATTTACATCGTAGCATTTTTTCTCAAAAATGAAATGCTTTTATAACCTTTTACATACTGTATGAGGTCAACAAAGTAATTACCAGTTTCAACTGTAAAATTAATGACACACAATCAGGATAGCTCCTTTACTCTCGTCCTATCGTCCTAACTGGTGTCTGTTGCTTTCAATCATCTCTGAAACCAAATTTCAACTATTTTGTATCTGACCAAGAAAATTCTCATTGTCCTTAACATAATGACCAAGCAAGCCACAAGCCACCGAAATTTTTTTCCAAATTTGCAACTCCTAACATATGATAGATTAGAATAAAACTGCTCCTTCTAGTTAAATCATAAAACATCATGTTCTATCAGTAGGTATCACCCTTCACGAGCTTCCCTAAGTTTTCAGCCACTACAGGGGAGGAGATCTCCATGGACATCATCTATTAAGAGGGACCGGGCGAGATTTCATATTTGATCAGCTAGGAAGCTTCCTGATGAGATCCTGAGGCTCCTATTCCGCATTGTCTAGGTGATAGATACAAATCATTTGCTCAAAACCAATGGTGTGGGTGATCCTTGAATTTATTTCCTCTAATCTAACACATTAGACAACAGTGAAGTATGATCACAAAACAACAGTCCCCGTTCCCCTCATATTATCTTCTATTACAAACTGATTTTATTAAGCAATAAGCAGTTGAACTTGATTATTAGTAGCATATCTCATGTGGCACAGAGAAATTGATGAACTAGAAAAGATCACATATATTGCACCACTCAATTCCCCAAAACTCAACACACTGGACTTGCCTTGAGCAGAAAGAAACCGTGATCTTCCAGCTAGAACATAAAACTATAAGACGCCTATCTCTCATAAAATAGGAGTTTATTGCTCACATATATTATGCTCCTCATTCCACCTAAACCTAATTCAACCCAACCAGAAGCAAGCCATGACCTTCCAGGAGGACAGAAGTACCATTAGTCAACCTTACTCTATTAAAAACATGCCAAATGTATAAAAATTTTCATTTTCACACAGTTATCTTTAGTTCAGACAACTACCAAAGGAAGCATCAATTGACAAAGAAGAAATGTGATCTACAAGATCGACATATACAAAGAAGAAAGTGAAAAGTATTCATCCCAAACAAGTTTCTGTCAAGATATACCTGCTACTTGGATCTATCATATCAACATCATCCCAATCAAAAGGACAAGTGAAATCAGGGTCCTCATTATCATCCTGGCAAGACCTACTGGAGCTCCTGGAAAATGAAATCTATAGCAAGGCGGGGGATGCTGTCAGTCCAAAAGACCTTTTAGATTCATCTCTTCCAAGAGATAGAAAAATGAAAAATCAATGCACACTGTGAACAAATCAAATACGTTCATACAAAAATTGAAAGTTGGGGGGGGGGGGGGCTTCGCAGTTTGTGCAATAAATACCTTCTCAGCTGTTGCCCCATATTGTATCATGTTGAAACCTCTACCTGTCTTAGACGGAGATCGAAGCAAGTCATGTCCATGGGCATTTTCAGGGCAATCGGTAACATTAGCAGTGGGAATATTGACTGGAGCACTTTCAGGACGTAATGATCCAAGACTATAGATTGGAGGTGATGGGGAGGGAGATGGGGACATCATTGGCGAGGGATAATACTCGTCAAAAGTTTTATTTTTCTGAAGAGGCATCTCGGGCGGATGAGGAGGCAAACTTGAGGGTGGAAAACGGCGAGAATTTATATTAGGAACAGAAGTGCGTGGTTCTGAATGTGTTGGCGAAGGTGAGGAACCTATAGAAGGTGGTGAGGCTCTACAACGGTCAAAACTCCAACTATGCCGCCTTGAGAATGGCAATGAAGATGGAGAGCCATGCGATGGCAATCCCGTCACAGGGAGTGATGGAAACCTCCTCAATGGATCCGCCAATGGACTCCCAACATAATCAGTTATAACTCGTGGAGATATCGGAGTTGATGGTTCTGAGCTTACGTCTGGGACGGATGGGCGATACTCAACTGACAGGCAGAGCCGACCACAAGAGGTATCAACAGGAGTGAATCCAAATTTCAGCATTTCAGCCTCTTCTTTACGGTTGAAAGGCTCAGCAAAAGAAGATACTCGATGAAAAAGGGTAAAAGTGCGAACTTGTCCCGATGAATTAAGGTCTCGGAAAATCTTGTGAGCGGGAAGAAGCCTAACACTAGCATACAGAGACCTTAAAAGTAACGTTAATTTCTTATACAAGCTATGCAGCGAAATGCTGCTTGACCTCCTACTGCTTGAATTTGACTCTCTGGCCTTTCTGCTCTCATACTGAAGCACCCATCTCTCTACAATCTTTTCACTCTTCGCCTCAACCCCCAATTCTTCCTGATCAGCATTCCATCTTTCTTTCGGGGAAGAACTCCGTCGGAGATCATTTTCTGGGGAAAGACTCACGGGGTTCCACTGTAGGGGCTTCTGCATTAAAATCACATCCACCACTATAGGCTCTAGATTATTCTCTAAAGCGGCCGGGCATTCGCGGAGCGCCAAATTGAACCATTTATCCCTCAGTCGAACACTAGGCGATGACGATGAAGATGATGAAGATGGAGATGTCCCGGTTGGATCACTGCTGGAGTTGCGCGATGACCCATAAAGTGCCCTTGATTCAAGAATTATGTGAAGACTTTTGGCGAAGAACGCAGTGATTATTTGTTCCATCTTTGCTGCTTCCGAGTGAGCATTACTTTGAGATGATGCCATCTTTCCGATGTCTACTGCAGTGGCAGAAAAAAGAGCTTTTTTTAAATTTAAAATACTAAAACAAAAGTCCAATTACCACCGCTAACACTCCCAATGGGAGCGTTTCAAGTATTACAGGTAAAGACATGTATATTTGAAGGTTCGATACAAAGCGATGGCGCGCACACTCCCGATGATTGTCAAACCCAACCCTGACGAAAACCAGCAGCACAGTGCACACTTTACAAACAGCGCATCTGATTCCGGGCTAGAATATCAAGCAATCGGCAGCGGTAATACAGTTTCGTACAGAACTCCTAAAGTTTATTGAGCCGGAAAAAAAAAAATCTAAATTTGGTTCCTCGAAACATAAGATATGTCACCCAAAAGGGATTAACGCAGACACATTGGATATTCCTCGAAACCGGAATTTTAAGTTTCAAATTAATCTAGCCCAGAAGCATAATAACAGTATCAAGAGGTTATCGAAAAGGATGGAGTATGCGGAGAGAGTGAGAGATAAAGAAACAGTAAATTACCCGACGGAAGCGCGAGGAGGAGAGAGAATTCATTAGCTGATTAGCCTCCGATTATACAGCGTGCGGAATAAGGATGAAGCGGGGAAGACACGGTCGTTAGCGTATAAATGAGAGTCTTATCGCTCCGGTTATTTATAAATCACATGAAATCTGAAGTAAATCGAAGCAACAGAGAAACGGTGGGGCCAGTTGGCAGAGGTCGTTGTTCCCTGAAACCGGACGCATAAAGTAAGCATGCACCCCATGATCTGGTCTCTCTGTTTGGTGCCTCGTAGGGCTGCTTGGTTCTAGCTCTCAGGACCCAGTTCAGTTAAAATTGAAAGGAGGTTCATTTAAATTATGATTTTAAAAATAATGTTATAATATATAAAATAAATATCTAAATAAGTTTGTCTCGATTTTAAAAAAATATTTTTAAAAAGTGTTTTTGATGATATCCAAACACCCCCTAAAAATGCATACAATCAAATGTTCATCAAATTATATTAGCTATAAGCTGCTAATTATCCTACTCATTTCTTAAATTTTATGTCTAACATGTAAAATAAAAATGTAATTATAAAAGCTATTATACATGTTCATTGATAATTGCTTGTTATGAAAACCTCTTGAGTTTTGAATTGACTTATGTGAACATGACGTGTTTTTAAATGTCAGTGAAGACTGCATTCTATGGAAACTAACGCAAAACAAATTCTCATAATAGAAAAATGCCAAAATAAGTATGATGAAGTATAAATTGTAATAATAGTAGTAATGTGGTACAGCATCTTTTATGTTTTTCTAAGTTTATTGGGCATAGATATATTTCCAATGATACCAGATATGGCATAACATTTAATGACTAAATAGCTGGGCTAAAACGCTGGCCCAAAAAAAAAAAGCTGGGATAAAGCAATTATGTTTTGAATTAGATAAAAACCTTTTTTCTTTTTTTACCAGCTAGATAAAAACCTTACCCTATATAAACGGCACAGAAAGATATGATAATATTAAATGCTGCTTATATGTATTGAGAAAAGTAATGCCACGTCAACTGCAATTTGCAAGCACAAATATACTAGCAAATGCAGTACTAGTAAATAACAATAGAAATATGACCACGTTGAGATTAATTCAAAAGAGAGTGGGGAAAACAAAACAAAAGAGTTTTTTTTTTGGCAGCAAAACAAAAGAGTTTCTTCTCTCTCTCTTTTTTGGGTTTGGAACCTCCTTTTTTTTCTTCCCATCCTCTTATTTTCTCTTTCTTTTTTAATTATTAGATTAATATTTTAATGATTTAGATTTAAGTCTTTTTAAAACTGTTATTCAAATATTAAATTATAAACATAAATAAATAATAAATTAAAAATATATTAAAATTCAAAATGTATTAAATTTTAATATATTTTTTTATAAAAAATTAAAATCTAAACTGTTAAAATATGTTAATTTAATAGTTAGAAGAAAAAAAATGATAGGAGAAGATGAGGAGCAATTCCGAACGGTTCTTGGGAGTTGGGAAGGGCCGAAGGGCCCGCAGCTGTTATAGCATGGGTCGCCTGTGATGGCTCTAATAATGCTAGCAGCACCAGCGCAGGCGGCAGGTGCCTTTAGCGGAACTGATTAATCATGGGCCATCCAAAACATCTATGGACGGGCTCCCTGTTTCGCGTTACATGTGCAACGGGTCAGTCCATATCCAATTCAGGCCTATATCGAGTTTATGGATCTCATTCATCCTATAGTATTTGGGCTCGCAGCCCATCATGTTTATTTGAAAATCACGGGAAATCATGCAGTTATGGCTGTGGGCTCGAAGGTGGCTTTAATCGCAAAAAATAAAAAAATGAATCAAGACAAATAATTAGAAATAAAAATGCCAATCAGATTGCAGAAAGTACAATGGTGTATCACTGAGTATTGGGTCTAATTGTTGAAAAAAGCAAAGGTATTAGATCTAATGAGAAAAATTAACCCTTCGTAGAGTGGATAATCATCGTTGAGAAAAGTGTTCATATTTAACAATTCCAATAAAATAAAGGAGTCGGATCGTTAGAGTAATTAAAAAGCAAGGAACATGAAGCATAGGATGTGCGGAGCAGATAACTATCTCCATATATAGCGGTGAGCACCGAAAGCATTATAAATATCTTGTTAGGTGCCGCTGCTGGACCTTTTCTATTATTAATTAGTTGCTAATTAGTAGTATTGTGATTGTGGCATCACTCATATGCGGGGATTTTTTTTTTTTTTGCAAAATATATAAATATAAAAATGAGGATATCTGGCTGGGAAGAATTTTCTAGTTGTTGAGTGATTATTTTATCCGTGGCTTGATGCAAACAAATCCAAGGACGTTGTTTAATCTTTCAAGTATAGGAGAGCTATAGCGATCATCAACTAAATCGAAGACCCCCGGGGGGGGGGATGATATTTGTTTAACGTTATCCAAAACATGTACGACAAAACACGTTTTCTTTTATTTTTGAGACATCCAAGGATCAAGCTGCAACATTAAATTAAAATACCTCGCAACTTGTCACTCTCCCTCGTGTGACCCTCAAAGTGCCCCCCGAAGAAACAAACCCAAATTAGTGGGATCCAACCCAACAAGATATGGATCCCAAGGATACGATCCCCCGCTGTTTGTAAAGCCAAAAAGCCAATGATAAAGGAGGAGGAGGAGGAGGAGGAGGAGAGATGGCTCTATCTTAATTAGATCTGTTGGACAGTTACTAGTTGCTGCCATCCACTTCCTTCGTCAAATATTCAACGATTTAGAAAGACCCTCCTTTCTCCAGCCTTCCCTTCTCTGTAAGCTTACAATATCCACCTACTCGGTTATTAAAGCCAAAAAGTGCTTTTGTATACGATGACAGAATCAGATTGCGGATCAAATTTAACCTAGACATTTCGCCAGTTGGATATGCCAATAATGATAAGTCCTTATCGTGTGCGTGGCTGGCAGTCAAGCTTTAATTGGTGGCCACAGCTCGCTGAGAACACGAGATCGTGATCTATATGTATGTATATATATATATCTACTTGCTTCTTGCTACGATCCCAGACGATTTCATGGCGCAGCAAGGATTTGGAACCCTTTTCCATCTCCACTTATCGTGAAAGCACGGTGTCACAGAATTATGGTATAAACAAATCAAATCAAATCAATTAATGAATCTTTCATCAACAGAAAGTGATAATTAGAAAAAAGAATCTAAAGCTCCGGTTTTGGGTTTGAAACGATGTATACGTGATACTTCGTCAAATAACACACTACTTCCTGCTTTCAAGTTTTCTCTAGTTATCTGGGAATTGGAAGATGGAAGAACGATGCTCATGTGAAGGATCGGACCACCACTTGGCACTTGCTGCCAAGGCAGGAAGGCCCGCTGTTAGGTTTAGAAATGGACTCTACATATGGGCAAAGGACAGACAATCCAAGTTGGCCCTCGCGTTTCATTGGGAACTTAAAAGATGAATCAACCTGGAAAGCATATTTTCAAGTGTTGGGAGTAATCTAGTAATTTACATCACGATTACGAGGAAGCTTCTCTGTGGCTTCTTGGGTTTTCGTGGGTCCCAGGAGAAGCCACGAGGTACATCCTGCTGCGTGTAAAGTGGGACTGAGAATGGACCCCCTCAACCCTTTGATCAGAAAGGCAATTATTACAAAAGGCAACAGTCAGTGGATCATCCATGTGCTTGCAAATCAATCTCTTGCCAGCAACGACAAACATAATTCCAATTCAATAATACTTCATCACCACTCTATATAATCCCCTGAACCAACCACCCGCAGAGAAAGCTGCAAGTAACCAACCCATCCAACCTCTTCAATAGAACATGTATGCTTCCTCTTTCTCTAGCTCGCTGCTTCTCCAGGATCTTCTTGGGGATTTCCATTCAAGAAGGCTGCTCCTTCTACACAACCCACTTAACTTACAGGCCAACCCTCCGGCGTCCTCAAACACCCACAATTCCACAGACCACTACCTTGGAAATGGCAATTTTGATGCGAATGTTGTCATGGTGCTCTCGGTGTTGTTGTGTGCTCTTATTTGCTCTCTGGGGTTGAACTCCATCATAAGGTGTGCCCTGAGGTGTTCCAATCTCGTGGTCAACGTCGAGTCCGCCGGCACCAACCCTCCGGCTCGATTGGCCAACACTGGAGTGAAGAAGAAAGCTCTCAAGACTTTCCCCACTGTGAACTACTCCGCCGAGCTGAAGCTTCCGGGTTTGGACACAGAGTGCGCGATATGCTTGTCAGAGTTCACCAGTGGCGAACGAGTCAGAATTTTGCCAAAGTGCAACCATGGCTTCCATGTCAAATGCATTGACAAGTGGCTGAGCTCCCACTCGTCTTGTCCGAAGTGCAGACAGTGCCTAATTCAAACCTGCCAGAAGATTGTTGGATGCACCACCCAGGCTAGCTCGTCCCAACCACCTGAAACCATTCTCAGGATTGCGCCTCTGGAGCCAGAAGGGTTGGTCCGTGACTACAGGGAAGTAGGCGCTTAATTTAGTGGTGATCGGTCGATGTGTGCACAGTGTTAAGACTTCTCATGAGTCTGTTTTTTCTTTTTCTCGTTATACCCTTAAATGTACAAAACTAGTTACAAATGTAGCCGCATTCTTTTTCAATAGTGAATTAGCTGGAGCAAAAATCTATCGTTATTTGTCTATATAATTAGGCATGTACGGGTCAACGAAGCAAAATACAAGGATGCTGACCAGACACTCACTATAATAAGCTAGTATAATTTCTACACGAACCAGTGAAGTTGATTCGCCATGCCTCCGTCAATGACATTATAATATTGAGGGTTAAAAGAGTCATACTGAACTGGAAATGAGAGGCAATGCATGACCACAAAAGTTGCAGGACAGCGCCATTTTAAACGCATAAAAAAAAATCCCAGCTAAAAAAAAACACAAAAAAATAGCACCATACAAATGAAGCAATACACCCAAAAAAAAAAGGCGAGAAAAATAAGCTTTGTTTTTTTTTGGGGGAGCGTGTTGAGGGTGGTGGTCATATCAATAATATCATGATCCACCCTAGATTGCGAACAACGTGAGAGGAACAAGAGGAAAAGAAACATGATAAAGTGGCAAGCTTTATCTTGTGAATGGAACATAAAAATGGAATATGGAAGCTGAGACTGAAACCACTAATCACTTTCAAATTTCAAATCAGAGGAGAGGAGTAAGAAGGAAATACTGCGGCAACGTAGTTCTCACACAAATCATATCATTTGGCAGGCACTGAGGAAGGTATGAAGGATCACACGGCGGCTGATGCAGAGATCAAAGATTCAAAGCATAATATATGCATATGTGGATACTGTGTGTGCGTGGGACAGGGAAGCAGAGCATTAACGTTAAAAAGTAAATTGTGAGGATGTTATTGCAGCAACCGCGAAAGCGAATCATCCGAGGGATAAACTATAGAAGTATGCGCATAATAGAAGAGAGAGAGGTGGGAGGGGAAAAGCGATTTCTTATTAAATTCACGGCCCGAATGATTTTGTTTTGGCCGCGGGGGGTAAACTATGAATATTCCATTCCAACTTATCCCACAATATGTAGTAATGGCGGCTCCAACTCATGGTTGATGCTTCTCATAACAACCACACGAGAATGGAAACAAATATTAATTATCCCGGATTTCATACATTCCTTTTCTTTTTCCCACTTTCAATAGTGATTTCCGAATCACAGATTATTCAATCCAGGTTCGTGTCGGACGAGGACGATGACAATAACAACAACAACAATAATAATAATAAAATCCAATTATTTGTGAAGCCGCCATACCCATAAAATGCATGCCGTGAGCTTTTTACTATTTTTAGCAGTCACAGGCATGGAATGGAAGTTGGGAATGCTATTATTATGCTGTCGAGAAGGGGGAAAAAAAAAGAAAACTAAATTATAAATTTGAGCAGCATTGGAGTCCAACGCGAGGAACATATCAGACATGGAAGTGTACGGACGCACATGCAGAATAAAGCAGTAAGGTGATCGGAAAATCAAGCGAAGAGGGAATAACGGGAAGTTGAAGCATGGGGAACATTAACAAGTATCTTCGAAGGCAGCCGTCATTTTAATATAGCCAGCTTTTTTGAGAAGATAAGGGGAAATATGATGGTTAAAAAAAAAAAAAAGAACAGTGGGATTTACTGGCTCTGTGCCTGGGGGACTGGGGAGCGCACACAGGAGATGGACACTGAATTACAAAATCAAACCCAAGTAGCCTGTAGTGGTGTCAAGTTTGGGCCGATCTTGGCTCCAGTAGGAGAACTTTCTAATGCTGCAATATGAGCCCAAACAAATTCTTAAATGTCCACATCTTAATTGCCTAATTAAACCAACAAGAATTAGTCCAATCGGTAAGAAGTCAACTTATAAGTTAGGGGTGTTCATAAAGTCCAGTTGCCTGTAATGCCCGCCCAAGCCAGCAAAAAAATACCCAACCCGTCATTAAAAAAATGACCCAGAAGAACTATTGGGCATGTTCGGGCTGGGCAAATTGTTGGGTAGAGCTGGGCATTGGGCACGGTATGCTGCCCTGCTCATTTGGCCTTACCTGCAATAATATATATAATTTTATTTACATATATTTTATTTGCCTTATATTTATTTCTTGAATTAAACATATTGTTGCATCGATATTCAGTATTCATTATACTTATTTATTTTTGAGTGATTTTAAGAGTTAGAAACTAGAAAAACAATTAAGTTTAATAAAATATACAAACAATTTTTTTTGTCATAGTCCACTCCTCCTAGCTACTACAAAAAGTAGTTTCATAGTATATTAATTATTAATAACAAAATTAAGGCCAAGTTGCCATTTTAATATAAAGTTACATTAGATTATTTAAAGAGACATAAATAATTAGTTAGTTAATGTAGTATATTGACTTGTTGGGTATGAAAACCCGCGCTGCCCAGCCCGCATTTGTCTAGCCCGAACTTAACAGGGCTTTTCATGAGCAGGGCTAGGCAACGGGCTGTATTTTTCAGCCCGTTCATTCTTTGAGCTGGGCATCGGGCAAGAGTCCTGTCCTGCCTTGCCCTGCTCATGTGCAGCCCTATTATAAGTTACAAATTTGTAAGCTTGAATCCCACTGCTGATGTGAGGATTTTATTGGTGGGCAATCTGTAAGTATTTCTGTAAACACTTTCTGAACCTAGAGGCATGTCTTGGCTCTGGTGGGCTCCCAGAACCTAACTCATCTAAACTTTTATTATACCAAGAAAAAATGCCTAATTAAGGATTTAATTAAAACAGTCAAACGCATAATTTAGAAATCACAACCGTCAAATGCATAAGCAATAATTTCGTAAAAATCTTATGTTCATATTATTTTAAAACAAAATCAAACCTCTAAAAAGAGCTGCTTTAAAATGGACGGAGTTTATAGACATCTAAAAAATTAACAAAAAAGAAATACAGCGACATGCCCAAGGGCTAAGGCGCCAAAATGTCCACCGGAAAGAAAAGGCTAGACTCATTCCATGAGCGGCGGGTGGAATTCCCTCCATCTAATGTTTCAAGTTGGATGGCGCTTTGTGTTGGGCTCGAAAGAGCAGCCTTTAAAAAGGTAGCGATCCGCGTGCTCCTCTCGTAATCGAATCTCGACCGTCCCTCTATCCATAATCCGTGGCTACTATTCAAAGCTCCAAAACCCTGCGAGTCTACGGCCAAAATTTCAACCTCAAGTTCGCTCAAGTCTCTGCCTCAACCATAAAAACCCCAGACTCGCCCGCTATTCTCACCGCCTATCAGTATCAGCATCTCTGTATCATCAACAACTACCTATCCGCTTTTCAGCAATGGCCAGGACCAAGCAAACCGCCCGCAAATCTACTGGTGGTAAGGCCCCTCGCAAGCAGTTAGCTACCAAGGCTGCTCGGAAATCGGCTCCCGCCACCGGTGGCGTCAAGAAACCTCACCGATTCAGGCCTGGAACCGTGGCTTTGAGGGAGATTCGAAAGTACCAAAAGAGCACCGAGCTCTTGATCCGTAAACTCCCATTTCAGCGTTTGGTTCGAGAAATTGCTCAGGACTTTAAGACTGATCTCAGGTTCCAGAGCAGTGCCGTGGCTGCTCTTCAAGAGGCTGCTGAGGCCTACCTCGTTGGGCTGTTTGAAGACACCAATTTGTGCGCAATCCATGCCAAGAGGGTGACCATTATGCCTAAGGACATTCAACTTGCTCGTAGAATTAGGGGCGAGCGGGCTTAGAGGACGCCGCGCGATCAGACTGTCTCTCTCTTATTTCCTTTGTATATTTTCCGTATTTTAGGGCTATTGTTATCTTATGTAGTCATCAGTTTTTCTGAATCAATTAGTTCAGTATTCAGGTTTGATATCCGTGTCTCAAAGTTTAAGGGCATTGACCCCTGACTGTGACAAGATTGAGTGCCGAATCCAAATGATTATTATTGGATATTTGACGCTATTTCTTGATCACGTGATTTAATTCTTGATTTTACTCCTGAAGATAAAAATTTCAAAACACTGGTCTAATTCCGAGAACTTTTTTTTTTGGGCGGGTTTTGTTTCACTGTCATCCTCATTAATTGATGATAAGGGATTTTAAATTATTCGAGAATCATTTTTCCAAACTCATTTCTTTGGTGAATGATGATGCGGGTTCAATCAATGGCATAAGGAACAGAAGGGCCTGCGAGTTCATTGCTGATAAAGGACCCCATTCGGCTTCATCTTTATAGTTTCAAATGATAGCCATGTAGGTGGTACCCCTGATTTTACAGGCACAGGATGCCAGACGCCTAGGCATATTATGCTTGATTCCAAAATCAACATGAGGGCTAAATTATCCAGAAGCCAACAGGAGGGATTGAGGGAAGACTTAAGGTCGTTCATCGGAGTTAATATCTTTCTTCCGTCAATCCATTAATATGGCGATAGGCGAATGCCAAGTTGCTCCACTTATGAGACCAACACGTGCAAAATTTGAAGGAGCAGTGATAAATCCTGATTTTAATATATTGTTTGATATCTTTTTAGAGATATTTATCAATTAAAGTGGGATAAATTGCATTGATTGTGGGTATTTTGAATCAAATACTGATTGCATGAAATTAGAGATTTAATAGGAGATCTTATCATATTTTTATCTCTTTTTAAATATTTAATTTTGGATTTTATGATAGTATCTCAATATATCTTTTGCAGGCCTTAAAAATAAGGAGATAAAGATCATAGAAAGCTGAAAGGAAGGAAAAAAAGAAAAGAAAAGGAAATTGGAGACACAAACAACTTGGGCATCAAGGCATCAGATTATTATTTATATTTTTATTCATGAAAAAAAGGGGGCAACAAGGAATTCCAGAAGGCCGCCAATCATCTGATCCTTCGGATTTGATATTGGATATAGATCCCCTCCTTCACGCAATATGACGCGGTCGCCTCCCTCAATCCCTTTTTTATATATACCACCGCAACACACAATGGGAGGGAACTCACTCACACCCCTTCACGTCCTTCACAGCCGCACGCAAGACCACAGAGCCATATACACAGTCACGCCGCACGCATCCTCCTTCTCTCCATTCAAGACCCAAGCCGCAACATTAATTCCACTCACACACACGGCCAATACCCTTCCCTTCACGCATACACCGCCGCCACAACACTTCAATTTCAATCTTCCAAATTCATCTTTCTTCTCCTCCATCTATCCTCCATGGCTACTGAATCTTTGGCACGAGTTGTAGCTTGGTTCAAGACTATGAGAGGCTGAGTTCGCTGTGCTCTTTGGGATTGAATTCAATGACTTGAGTTTGGGAGCTACAAAGGGGAGTTTAATTCTAGTCCTTAGTTTAGACTATTTTGTTGATGATTTCTGGTTTGAAGTTTGTTATATTTGGTTTAAAGCTAAGAATTGCTAGTTGTAATTCTTGGTTTGGATTGGAATTGCTGAGATTTGGATTGGTATTTATAAGTTTGAGTACTTGGTTTATACATATATTTATGTTTATGCCTTTGTTAAGTCATTGTTAGTGTGATTTTTATGCGAGTTGTATAGAAATTATGCTTGAAGTGAATTTAACAAGTAATTAATGTTCTAGTTGAGTATTAATTTAAAAGGAATAACTTATATAAACCAGTCTTAACCACTTAAGTTACTCCCATATCATTAAACAAGCTAGGATAGTCATTGATTCATTCCTCAAGAGCATTCTTGTTATTAATTTCTTACAATTCAAATTTGCATTTTTCATTCTTTCTTAAAAATACCCAAAAAAAGTAGTTTAGATTTATTTCTTACTCTCTTAATTAGTTTTATTAATTGAAAAATCCTTTTTCAACCCCTCCTTTCAATTCTTTGTCACTTAATTAACTAAGGAATTAATAAAAAGCTCCTCAAGAGACTCGACCCGAGTTGTGCTTTACTGCATAATTTGGTTTTATTTTTGATTTAACCCAAGGCGACTGAAAAGGTTCAAATCAAGCAGCCTTGCCTTGCCTTGCCTTGCCTTAAACATGGGGCGTGTGATTGCACGTGTACTTCCACCTCATGGAAATGTTCCCGTGCCCTCAAACGCTCAGTGCTTCCACCTTGCCTTCATCTCCGTTTGATTGCGCGTGTCAACATCCTCTCTTCCATTAGAAAGTGAATCCGTAAGTCAGAAGGAAAACATGAAATTATGAACAGAGGAAGGTTGTATTCATGCATTGCTATAAAATAAAACACGCAAATTGCCATATCCCAATTGCCCATATTCGCTTTTGGTAAATAATTGCCTCTGCACATTTCCGGTTCCAAGTAATGAACAAATACATATTATTAGGGAGTAAAAAGGGAGCGAGAATCCGGGATGGTGGGATGCCAAGTAGAGCTGAACCAGTGAAAATTGTTTCCAGGGCACCCGAAGAATGTAACCTGATACTCTGACTTCAATTACTGGGCCGGCAGGTGAGCATCGTACTGATTCTTCATCTGGCAGGCGGTGCATCAACAAACTGTTTTCTAATGGGGTTTCAGTGAACAAGCGTTTCAGAGAATTTCATTATAATTTAGGCCTGTAATGGGAACATATGATTCTGTCACAATTTCTTCTTACCCACCGTGAACGTGCATAACAAATGAAAAACCACTCATCAATTGCATCTAGAGAGTGTTTGGATGGAATTAAAACCATAATTTTAAAAATGTTTTTACAGCGTACGAAATAAATATGTAGATGAGTTTATCTCGTTTTACGAAAAAATGCTTCTAAGAACCGTTTTTGAGTGTTTCAAAACATCCTCTTGGTGCATGTTAAACAGTAAGGAGTGCTTAGGAAACAGGGCCTAAGAATCTCAACTGCTCTATGATGCAAACACATCTCCATTTTAGGCAAGTAATTTTGAATTTTGATCGACTGCTCTAAGATATTTTAGGTGGAAAAGGATATTCATTGTTTTTAATATTTTGTAAGCTATCTGACATTAAAACATACAAATAATGCCTCATAAGATAGAAAGACTCCTACATATTTCTGTAGTTTTGCGAAATTTGATGAACGGATGAGGAATGACCAGATCCAACGCTAGCAAAGCCCCTGTTGAAAATATTATGAAAAAATCAATTAAAAAGATGCACGTAAGATCCATATTCGCTTTTTAGGGGGGTAAAAAACCAGGAGCCCGTTTCTAAAACCCGTTGAACGAATCTCTGAGTGGAGAAGTTATCCCCAGAAACCACAGGCAACGATATTCTTATAATTTTTGGTAAAGCAAGGACCCTGCTTGGGGTATTGACACTTTGGAAAATTTATCCGAAGGAAGACGCCAAATTGGTAACAGGAACAAGCAACCCATAGAGCAACGAAGTCAAAGGAACCTGGAATATACTATATATTTTTTCTCAAGGAAGAGGCATTTGTTATTAAGACTTTTTGATAGTTTTTTTTTTTAATGAAACTCTAGTGCAATTTTATCAAACTAAAGTGTCGAATAACTGTTTCCGGTTACTGAAGGATATTGAATAACTCGAAACTATTTCAGAAAATGAGTGTTCCCGTATATGACTGATAAATAATAAAACTGGTTAAAGATCTATAGTTTATAGGAAAAATTAAGGAGTTCATTGAAATTCTTTTTATGAAGATAACCTAAATCAAAATACTGGTACTTTGTATATACAAAATTTACACAGTATTAATGCCTTTTATATATATAAATTCATCAAGTCATTCTCATCAACAAAATTTGTAATGAGAGATTTCTGTTTTCCTTTTTTATATTAATGAATGGGAATATTAAACAAAATTAGAAGCCTCTGGTTGATATTTCTGAGGAGTGAAACTCAGGCTGCCAGGCTTCAAAAGTCGCTATCAAACAGGTCCAATTTAGCGGCGTACGTGGGGCGTCCTCTTAAATTAGCTTTGATCCAATCTCTGGCTGAGGATAAAGAACTTTAAATAAACACATATCTTCATTTTTCACTGTGGAAAACGACTTCCACAATATGATACTATATGCCCGTCCCCCTTACGTAATACCATTCTTTCAACACCTGTCACGCACGCTTCACTCTCGTCCTTTTCCTCAGCTCCCCGATCCATCTTTCATCTCTCTCTCTTTTTTTTTTCTTTACCCCTATTTAGAGAAGTTTTAAAAATATTTTTATGATATACAAAATAAATATACAGAAAAATTTATCTCAATTTATAAAAAATATATTTAAAAACATTTTTCATACTTGCCAAACAGCCCTTGATCATTCTTTTTTCTTTTTTCTGCCCCCTGCAAGCATGATATTAGTGAGAACTCCAACAAAATAAAATTGACTTCAAATTCTGAGATATTCCACCCAACCCTCCCCCCTCCCAGAGCATAAAAGTCAAATTATCATAAATGACCGTGCCTGTTGCTGCCCCGACTTAACAATCCTTTTTATTTTGTTAATCAGGGTGACGTCCTTATTGCCATAACTTGCGCAATAAAAATTACCCACGCCCAACTATAAAATTAAGGGGCATATTATCTTTGGGGTCTGAGACACGTGTCTAAATCGCGTCACGGTGGCACAACTAGTTGTCACTAAACGGGAAGGGCGGTGAAGAAGGTGGGCTCTGTGGGGCTGACCCTTCACTTTTTCATTCGCCTCCAAATGTTCACCTCCTTATCTTTCATGCCATTCCCTTTTTCCCCACATTGATTTATTTTATACACAATTTTTTTTGGTGATCATATTCTTCAATGACAATAACATTGAAATTTGAGTTTTACGAGTTCCATAAACGACGGTTACAGTTAACTCATTTTTATATTTGATGGTGGCAATATAGAAAGGTTACAGTTAATGATCCTAATTATTTGAAATTCGACATTTATGTCTTCCTACTTAATTCCCACCGAGCCATGAAAGCCTACTAAGATTGACCCAAAGTCAGATTTGTTATTTGATGCTTGGCTCCATTCTCACTTTAAGGTCAAAAATCGAACGAGCTCTCATGTTAATCCACACGATTCAATCACAAGCCTCCATTTGCACAGATGGGGTCGATATGATCATTCTTTTAAGAATTTTAATTTTCAACACCGATTCACCTCTCTTTTCACATTGTAACTTGCTGGCTTACCCTCATATATTCCTACTAATAATTGAAGAATAGGGAACTCGTCTCTATTCTCAACATCGATTTTACCACTTTCCGTTTTTACAGATTTCACCGCTCCTTTTGTCCCCTCACCCCATGCTGGAAAACTCAACCTCATCGGAAAATACCGCAGCTCCCGTCCAGAACCGCCCCTCAGAGGACGGAGGTGGTAGCGGGCCTGACTCCGATGGCCTCAAAGAGCAGCGGGGGATCGTCGACCAGGAAGTTGACAGGAATTCCGCCGGTCACCGGTGGCCCCGAGAAGAGACACTGGCTTTGCTCAAGATAAGGTCTGAGATGGACATTGCTTTCAGGGACATGAGCCCCAAAGGTCCTCTTTGGCAACAGGTTTCGAGGTCAGTTCATTCTCTGAGTGATGCGAAATTAATTTCTGACATCTTTTTTCTGTTTTCTGCCAACAACCTTAACCTTATTCTGGTTTTAAAACATTTTTAAGAGTGCTATTTTGTTTCCATGATTCCCCCTTTTTTGGTCTTCTTGTCCACTAAAAAGCGTGGTCCAATTGGGGTAAAAGTGGGAGGGTGGGTATGTTTGGTTAGTACTAGTCTTATCAAATTAACATTATATCATCAGATACCAGCTGATAATCATATATATATAGTCCTTCTCTTGTTGAACAATTGAGGAGTGAGATGATTGAGTTTGGAAACCGTGCAGGAGATTGGCGGAGCTGGGATACCACAGGAGCGCAAAGAAATGTAAGGAGAAGTTCGAAAACATCTACAAGTACCACAGAAGGACCAAGGAAGGCCGTTGTGGCCGGCCCAACCGCAAGACCTATCGTTTCTTTGAGCAACTCGAAGCTCTTGACGCCCACCTACTCCTTCCACCTCCAACTTCAACAGAAAAGGACGACACGCCAAATACAACAACCTCCCTGGATGTTGTTCAACACGCCGTGCCCTGCTCTACTCTTTTCCCTAATGCAAATAGCAATTCCATCACTTCTTCTTCTAATGAAGAATCTGAGGATGCGCCGAAAAAGAAGGGCAAACTAACTAAGTTTTTCCAGGGATTGATGAAGGAAGTAATAGAGAAGCAAGAGGCTCTCCAAAAGAATTTAATGGAGGTTCTGGAAAAATGTGAGCAAGATCGAATTGCAAGGGAGGAAACATGGAGGGCGCAAGAACTAGCTCGGCTTGACAGGGAGCGTGAGCTCTTGGCTCAAGAAAGATCCACTGCCGCCGCCAAGGATGCCGCCTTGCTTGCCTTTCTGAAGAAGATAGCAGAACAATCAGCGTGCCCGGTGCAGCTGCCGGACAATGTTCCGGTTGACCGGAACCTCATTCCAGACGATATAGATAAGAACAAACAAGAAAAAGTCAACGGACGTTGTACTGTTAGCGTTACGGATAAGCAAGAATGTGGAAGTGTGGGAAATTTCATACAGATGAGCTCCTCCCGTTGGCCTAAAGAAGAAGTGGAAGCTCTGATTAGATTGAGGACGAACCTGGATGTGGAATATGAAGGAAATAATGGGCCTAAGGGATCCCTATGGGAAGAAATCTCTTCGGCAATGAAAAAGCACGGGTACGATCGCAGTGCCAAGAGATGCAAAGAGAAATGGGAGAACATAAACAAGTACTTTAAGAGGATGAAGCAGAAAAATAAGAGGAAGCCTGGGGATTCGAAGACATGCCCATATTTTCAACAGCTAGATGAACTATACAGCAAAAAACCTAGGAAGGCCCAAGAATCAACTGCTTCCGGGAACGAGTTGAAGGCGGAGGAGCTATTAATGCATATTATGAGTGGTCAAGAAGAGCGACAAGCATCTGAAGATGGCGACAGGGAGAAGACGAACCAGATTGAAGGAGATAAGGAAGATGTGGATCATATGGTGGACAATCATACTTCAACAACAATCATGGGTTGAAAAGGCCCTACATTTTTTAGATGAATTCTCTTCTCACGGCCATCGTGGGTTCTTGTAGTTTTAAAATGATGATCAAACGTGGGTCATGATCATGAACTAGGCTAATTAGCCCCGAACAAGAGTTTGGTTTATTCTGGCCTCAGCGTCAGATATAGGTCTTCTTTGCAGAACACATGCGAGCCAATCTCACTGATGCTGCCAAGGCACATTACATTTTCTTCGTTTTTTTTGTTCCTCATGAATACGATGCACGTAGCACATGCATATAGAAAGAGAGTTTTGTCTATGTGCGAAATAAAATCATTGGGTTTGTTAATTTTACTATAGTTTAATAGCTTTTGTCCTTTAAAGTTTGTAAACCCCGTGTGTGCTAAAGTGGGAAAATGGTTGGATCTGTCTGGTCGTGACAATAAACAAAGACATACATGATGAACTGTAATGATCATGACGGTGCATTTTTTTTTTTCCCTGTTCCCTTGAAAAAGTAGCGAAATTAATGATCGAATCACGCGTTTTTCTATCAGTTTTATTTCTCGTATGTCATCAGTAGCTTGGACACTGTTTCTTCTGGGCATAGAAATACGAAGCAGCAAACTCAACCAGTTCAAAACTCAGCTGACGTGGATAGTATGCCAGTTGCAGAACTAATCATTCCAAGCCCAATCAAAATCTAAGAAAGGTCAAAGTTCAGGTGGTTGTCAAATGATTCTGAGTCAATAATAAGCTTCTCTGAATTTCTTACTCCAATAATTTCTGCAATAAAGCCAAACAAGAAAATTTTGATTAGTTTATAAGATTGCTGGTGCTCTGATCAAAACCTCTGTTTCGCCGTTGATCTGTTTAATACTTTAATCTAATACTTTTGGACAGCTTGCAAAATTTGGTTCTGAAGTCGGTCATAATAGCTGATATATATCGTTCTGATTGTTAAACTGAATCGTAGAATGATGTATCTTGTGTGTATGAGATGAGAACTATTTATGTCAATCTGAGCTGGTTCATAAGAAACTTGGACACAAAAATTGACATGTGAAACGGTAATGTTGACTTCAACTAGGTGTATTATTTCCTGTTCTTAATATAAAAACTAGTTTAATTTTTAATTTCTTTTTAAATATAAAATTCCAATCTAATTTTTTTCTTTTATTTATTTATTTCTTTAAAAATAATCTTTGTAATAATTACACATGTTAAAAGTTTAATTAAATTATAATTTTAACTAATATATGATTAACAAAGATATTTTAAAAAAGACAATACTTTATTATTACAAATAACTAACTTAAAAGAAATCTTCGAATTGTACTGCAATCTCTGGGGTTATCATCTCATGCCGTGTTCCAAATGACGTGACCCTGTAATTTGAAATTCGAAGGAGAGAGGGGAAAAAAAAACAGAGAAAGAAAAAGCAAAAGCAAAAGCAATGAGGTGTAGATTCAATGATTGTATGCTTGTTTAGCATCTGGAACGATCAACCAGTGATAATAAGTTGGGTTAGTGGCCAATTATTAGGGATCTAGAATTGTTTAGTAGGGCCCCTCCATTCATTGTCCAGCAAATTAGTCAATAATAAAATCATGTGAGTTGATGAGGACAAAACAAGGTCCTGTCACTTGCCTCCAAATAATATCTAATCAGCTCATCTTTATTTTTTTTTTTTTTTTGAGTTTTCTTCCCGAGAGATTTGAGACCCGTACTTGGTTTGGTTTTGTTTTTGTTCTTTTTTAAATTAGAGTACTTGGTTCTGTTTACTCCTCATGTCTATATTTTAATTCAGTTGAGGCATCATTTTATTCAACATATTAATTTTTTACGTATGAAAATAATATATTTTCTCGTATTAACAATACTATTTATATTTATGACTTTCGAATATTATAATTTATTATAAATTTTATATTTAACTAGGTCACAAGCCCCAAGTTCCACTTGGAGTCTGAAAACAAGTTGAATTATTACAAACTTGTCGACAATACAGTTATGAATTCCGGCTTCATATGAAGTTACATTGAGTGCGTGGGGTTGAGAACTTGAGATGGGCGAAAATACAAGAGCCAAAGTTATCAATTTTTGTCGAGGGAAAGAAAATTTCCACTTTTTATTTGAAAAACGACAATAAGGCTCCTTGAAATGACTCACAAACCGATCATTATGCATCGAATTCAATGAACTTTAAAAAGGCATGCCATAAGCTGAGCTGTTTTTGTCCTGCCCTTGCTCACTCGTACTCCTTCATTACAATCCATGAATGATTGAATGATTTTGATCAAGTATGGCTTAATTTGGTTGGTCCCGGCTTTTCATGGCCTTAATTGAATTGCCCATTAAAGAACAGACTCAACAGAAACAGAGTCCAATTCTAGCCTGGGCTCATCTTCATGCGGGTCAGCTCTGCTGTCACCGTGTGCACTTGATGCTGCGGTTTTGATCGCCAATTTTTTCTTAATATCTTGCTTCAAATTTAAATTTCAGTTCATAACCAGATATTAAAATACAACTGTGCATCCCACACATCACTCATCAATATTGAATTAATGATTCGTTATCAGTTTTTATTCATTGGCCATTAATTGCTTTGGCCGTGCTAATTCCTTACTAATCAACACTCGAATGTCGCACTTGCAACTTCAAACATTTTACTACTAGTATTTCAATTTCAATGCACCCAGTGGGATTTGGTAGAAATAACTCAGTAGTAAGGTTCTTTCTTGTGGTTGAGAGGAGCAAAGTTGCAGTGTGCGTCCATGGCGGACCATGACATTCAGCAGCAACAGCGTCAGCACCCATCAGGAGCAGGTATCTCTAAAGGGACGGCTCTGCAAGCATTGAACACCATAATCCAGCTTCATTTCGAGAAGACCATGGAGAAGAAGCGAGCCATAGACCTTCAAAAGAAGCAGCTTCACAAACTGTTTCAGATTTTCTTCATCTTCTTGACTCTGGTGCTCTTGGCCCACACTAACTCGCCTCGCCTCCAATGCCGCCATTGCTGGATCCCCATCACCCTCCTCTCCCTCGCCCACCTCATCTTCTACGTCTCCGTGGCCCAGACCTTGAGATGCATCAATGGCTTCAAGTACCAGAGGCGCTGCCACAAGCTCACTCTAGGACTGGCCACGGACAAGCTCAGAGAGATCAAGACCAAGATGGCTGCTAATGTGGACGCTGATGAGTACGAGGAGGAGCTCGAGATTCAGTACCAGGAGCCCCCGGAAAGCTATTTTGCTAAGTTCAAGAGGAACTGGGCTCTTCATTTCGGCTTCTTAATCCTCACCTACGCCTTCATGGTCTCTTCCTCTGTTTTTCTCCTCTGTTTTTGATTATTCTGCGCTCATGTTTCAATTAATCGGGTATTAAGCATCTAATTCTGTTGTTAGATGTACAAAGTATATTGTAAGATTCCACAATTGAATTTTCTAGCCAGCATCAACTCTGAAATCAATTCTCGTTTGCCGTTATCGTTCATCAATCACCCCTTCAATTTTGTAGGGAAAATTATTCCTGGGTCTCATGAGTGTTCTCTCCTTTTGCCAAAGGGGCAAAAAAAAAAAGAGTTTCTTCAGGCCGTTCTCTCTCATGGGAGGAATCATATCTGTCGCTGATTTTTAAAACGGCTAAAAGTATAGACGAAATCCGTAATAATGGGAGTGCGAGTTCCCACATCATCTTATCAAGCGCACGTTAATCTGCTGTTCTCTTGACTTCTAATTAAACGCCGTAGACTACAAGGAATATAATTAAGTTCATGTTCGTGCAGTCGACAAGCATTTTCAAGACATGGTCATGTGAAGTGACAATTCCATGATAGCCTTCTACCCGATTGTAAGCACCATAACTGAAATAACCAAAATGTAATACCCCGAACAAATTAAACATTACACGTGAGAGAGTCAGAGTGTCCAAAAGGTCAATTGTAGGCCGTGAATCTGCAGTAACTAGAATGATTATCAAACCGTGAATCTGCAGTAGTTAGAATGATCATCAACTCCGTTAATGAAAATAAGTAAACTCCGGTAGAGAGAGAGAGAGAGAGAGAGAGAATAAGTAAATAACTGTGTCTCCCTTCATTTTTCTCGTAATAGTAATACAGCTCAGACACACCCAACTCTTCCTTCAACAATGCGGGTTCAAAATCTTGATTTAGTTATCAATAAAAACAAAATGTAAATAATTAAATATGTTGGTCCACCTCTGACGGACATCATTATTGAATTGGAAACTGACAGCTTCAGAACCAGAACGTGCCCCAGCTGTCACCTAAGCTGGGGAAAGAGCCCTGCATAATGACTTGTATGCATCAAGACACATTTTGAATTTTTCCTCCGCCACCGCCTGCAATCATAAAAAGTTAATGAGCCAAAATGTGATCAGATGCCGCGGGTTTCTAAAACGAAGAAACATATGAACAAAATAACAGCTTGAACAGGAAAAAAAAAAGTTAAATTATCATATGGGTGAACAACAATTTTGCAACCATAAAAAAAGTTTAAGCCAGGTGATCTAACGCTCTAACTAAACTAACAACCTAACACATCAGACATCACCGTATGTTAGCGTCGTAACCCAGCACATAATGTTATCACATACATCAGGTTGAGCGTATTGAAGAGTCAGAAATATCAAACAGAGATACTTCAAACTCACCTGAGAAGAGCCTTGATGCTTATCAGGATGCCATTTTAAAGCCGACAGCCGGAAACTACAAGGCCAAAAAATGATATCAGATGTTTGCAGCACGTGTGTGGGCTGCGTGATATTGCCTCTAGTTTAATTTCAGAGGGACAAAACATTAGACAACTTACGCATTTTTAACATCCTCGAGCTTTAGAGGGCCTGTTGAAGGCAGACCAAGGACAGTTCTCTCCAACTGTGATCCTACATAACACGAATCTTCGCAGTCGTCATCAGACTCAGCATCACTTGCGCTTTTCCACTTCCTAGTTCTACTGTTTGTCCAGTTTGAATGTTCCCTCCATTCAAAGCCAGAGGTTGAATACTCACTGGACGACCTCGCCCAGTTTCTAAAGGACCAGGTGTAGCATCTATTACCGAATGTAGCTTGGAAAGTTGTCTCAGAATCAAAATCAAAGTCCTCAGAGAAAGCCGCTCTTTTGATTTTTCCTGAATTTGCATCGGATATCGACTGTTAAGAAAGTGAACGAAACACCCAACTTTTTTTAGGACTTTGTGAATTGTGAGTGCTTATCCTGTTTAACGATGCTAATTGGCTATCGAATATTTTATTTATTTATTTAAAAAAATCCATCTGAGATCACATTGTTTACTTGTGTGCAATGTAGTTGTCATTTGCTTACAGTAAGTACGTACCAAAAGTTCAGAAAAATTGCAGCTATGCTGACTAATCTCTGTATGGAGTGGACACAAAAGAACTCACGCTTTACTTTCTTCTTTGATTTTCCAGACTGCTGGCGGGACTTTGCTTGGTGTTTATTGTGACAGCTTTCCGAATCACAATCTTGATCTCCATAGAAATTGCGGTCTCCAAATCTCCATGTTTCTTGACTCTAGGTAAAAACGTAAAACGACACATGTAAAAGACAGGAACAATTTCTATTACATATAAATGTTGAGACGGATAAGGCAATAAGCTCCTGCATAAAAAAATATTCAAATGCATGGAAAAGGAAGACGCATGTGTTTCATCTTTCAACATCAGAGAATGGAGAGATCACTAACAACTATACGTCATTGGTGAAAAAATTAGATGATTTCACAGCAACTGTTCATGGCATACAAGGAAGAAAGGTCTTGCTATATAGCTAAGTCAGATCAATTGCAAATTTTTAGTCTCAGAATCTACTTTCGGCGAAAAGATTCAATATGTAATCCAAGCAACACATTTATATTCCTATCTTCTCGCATTTTTCATCCTATGAGCCGCTAGTCATGTGGGTAAGAATTAAGATTCAAATTTTCACCTAATATGAAATGTTTTCTTCAAAATTAGCTCTTCCTAGCATTTGTACACCCTTCCTCTTCAATCAACGACGCCATAACAGAAGCGAACAATATAACAGAAGGTTTTCTGAACATTGAATGGCAAGGGTTCTATTCATGACTGAGATATGAATAGCATACCTCAAATGGAAATTTAGAAGACCCACTTCTGTGAAGGAGATCTTTCAGAGCTTTCTTTGCATCAGCCCGCTTTTGGCGTATGACATATTTGACATAACTCTGAAGTCAACATTTAAAGCATCAGAAATAGTTTGCATAAGTATATATTATGGCCGAAACATTAAACAGCCACAAAATTTTGCATGTGAATAAATTAGAGACAATATTAAATCGAACCTATATCCAATCATTGCTGCACTTCTCAGTGACTAATTCCAGAGCTCAATAATCACAGAGAAGTAAACAAGAAAAAAAAAAAATCCCAATAGACAGATGCATGGGAGACAACAGCACAAGAGAGACTGGAAGAAATATCCAATGGCTAAAGTTGACGGGAGTTTCTTTCTTTCAAGTACTGACTCTGCATGATCACAACGAAAAGCAAACAAGGAGAAAGTAAAGCTTGGAACCCTTCACCTACAGATGCTGCGCTCTGTCCACTTGTTCATACTTCAGATATGAAAAAAGCCTTATGCTTTCACGAATTTTCTACAAAAATCATAATGACTACTGAGGGGATTTTAAAAAGGACAGACAAAGGGAAGCTGAAAAAGAAGAACTACGGGGACAGAGTAACTACCAGAACCAAATTATTTAAAAAGAGGTAAGGGATATGTGTGCTATTGGTCAAATCTGCTTTGGTACTAAGAACAATGCATTGGTTTGCATAAGTCTGTATGTTTCATTACTGCAGAAATCATAACACGGTGTACCTTTTAGAGTGGCGCTTCATGGTAAATGATATATCTAAAAAGTTAATTTTAACGGGATCATACAATTCATATAACCCACATGACTTAGTGTGACAAGGTTTGTTGTTTTTATTGCTGGTAAAGCTAAAATAATTAAGCAAGGACACACTCCAGTAACAGATACATAAAACAACAGCTCCCAGCATGAAATGTCAATGAATAAATAATCACAAGGATTCCCAAAGGTATGCGCTGAAAAGCATACCTTGGATGGTTGTTGTGCCCCTCTTATTGCCTACAGAAACATTGTATTGTCACATAATGGTAAAGGGTTAAGGCTATTCATAAACAATTTCAAACAACGCGATTACAAGAAGAGGAAAAAGAAGAAAACAATGAAGCCAGTGGGTTCAGTTACAGAAGCCAACCCTTGCAACAAGCCGTCGTCCAAGAAAATATGAGCAGCTAAACAATGCAAACTTTAAAAGCACGATGGACAGCTAATCACTTTCAAAGTTGCAATTAACTTTTAGTCTATTGAGAACACAAATATTTCATTCCGAAGCGAAAGATAAAAACTGGGGGTTATAAATTAGTTTACTTTAGCTCATACGAAGGACTTCAGCCTACTTCAAGGTCAATACACGATAATCAGGGAAACTGCGAACAACTGGTGGCTTATAAATTAGTTTACTTCAGCTCGTACGAAGGACTTCAGCCTACTTCAAGTTCAATACACAATATAGTCAGGGAAACTGCGGGCAACAGGTGGTTTATAAATTAGTTTACTTCAGCTCAATCGAGGGACTTCAGCCTACTTCAAGTTCACTACGCAATATTATCAGGGAAACTGGGAATACGCATTTTATATGAAAGTACTCCCATTTTTAACATTTTTAATGAGATAATCTACTCTAACTTCACCTACATCTTAATCTCTCCGAAAGGTTTCCCCTTTCCTGACGAGTTTTCCCCTTTGGCTCCAGCTAGAGCAGCAAATGAATCTCAGACAAGGGGACAGGCCATCAGAACAATATCAAGAATAAGATTAGTGGGCCTTAACAAATATAAGCAAACCAAGTTCCCTTGTAAAAGGAAGATCCAAAATACAGACGCTCGAGAAAAACGATTCCCTTTCGCGTGGGAGAGAGAGAGGAGAGAGAGAGAGTTGATCGACGGAACCGCTATTGTCTTCAGGGACAGCACATTTCGCCACCGGGGGATTTGCATACCGAAAGAGATGCAAGGCCTTCTCCGGGGCAAACTTGTCATGGCCACATCTGTCCAAGGAGGAGGGGGATCATGCAACGGTGTCGTTATGGGAAAATACGAAGTTTTTCACAGAAACTTTTTATAATTTTGTTAGAGAGAGAGAGAGAGAGAGAGAGATTATAATTTTTTATTTTTTATATAAACTTTTGAAAATAATCAAAATATTAAAAAATATATCTTTCATTATTTTTTCAACATGCTTTGAATAACATGTGCAGCCAAGCATAAAATAATTTTATTTTTCTAAAATCTCTATACAATAAATAACTTTTTACAGTCTTTAAGACATCTAAACTGACATATTTTTAAGTTAAAAAAATAGGCACTGATACTGAAGTTTTTAATTTATAAGGCAGGTTAAAGTTGTTGGGTGTCAAAAATCAAAATACGTAGCCAACTGGGTATTACATAGAGTAATTGGGCCACCAGAGAGAAAGCGGGCTTTTGGATCAACTGGGCCCTTCTTTGTTCATATGCATAGGCTTCTAGGCCATCAAGATCCGACAATGGGTCCCAGAATTTGATTGGGACGCATGGAGCACGCGTGAAAATACGTTGACCAGACCATGAGCTTAAAATTATGGAAAAAGCTCAAATGAGAAGTACGTAACCCTTCTTTTTTTTTTTGTTGGTTTCTTCATCATTTTATCCCCAAAATGAGCTTAAGCAATGCATACTTAGGAGTGAATCAAAATACGTAGCCAACTGGGTATTACATAGAGTAATTGGGCCACCAACATGAAAAGAAAAGCGGGCTTTTGGATCAACTGGGCCCTTCTTTGTTCATATGCATAGGCTTCTAGGCCATCAAGATCCGACAATGGGTCCCAGAATTTGATTGGGACGCATGGAGCACGCGTGAAAATACGTTGACCAGACCATGAGCTTAAAATTATGGAAAAGCTCAAATGAGAAGTACGTAACACTTTTTTTTTTTTTGGGTTTCTTCATCATTTTATCCCCAAAATGAGCTTAAGCAATGCATACTTAGGAGGTATTTGGATAAGATCAAAATCATGGTTTCAAAAGTATTTTTACAATATACGAAATAAATATGTGGAGGAATTTGTCTCGATTTGCAGAAAAGTACTTCTGAAAAGTGATTATTAGGGTATCCAAACACCTTCTCAACATCAGAATTTGTTAACCTCTGATATGGTATGTAGTCTACTATCATGTTAAGATGTGGTATAATTTGAGGAAAACATTTTAGAAAATTAACTTATGATAATATAATTAAAAGAACACCCTAACACATTTTTTATTTCAATTTTTTTGCCAGAAAAAGTCAACTTTATTAATCATTATTTCAAAATTTCAATATGTCGTATTTGCCGTCCAGTCATGTGGCGTTGTGGATAAAACCTTCTTTGGTTAAGGTTGGACAAGGCTACAGAAACACCGAATTTAAAACTTTAGATATTAAAAATATTTGTAAATGCTAATACGTTAATTTTATCTTTTTAAATAGCAGTAGTTCGGAACAAAAAATATTTGTGACTAGTAGCGTTAGGATTAAAGAAATGAAAATAGTTAGAATTTTATATACAAGCAGAGAATGAAACGTACATTTTTATCATGTAAAATTCATACGTGTGCGCGTGTATATGTACATTATATTTTTTTTGACATGCTTCGCCTTTACCTAGAAAACAAAAGAAGCTGGCGCGTCCATCCAGTATGTGAATAAAAAAGTTAAATTCGTGATCTCATATTTAGAAAAGATTTAGAGTAATGTTCAGTGTTATTGGGGGGCAGAAACTCCTACTATGTATCTAATCACGTTGCCTTGTAACCAGAGAATTAGTAACGAATGGATACATGAATATTGTAACATTTTTAGGAGCAGTTATGGGAATATCTGGTACAAGGATGAGGAAAAAAGTCTTAACTAGGTTAGAGTGAACAAGCTTCGTTTTGTTTGATTCACATTGAATATTCTTCCAGCACCTAACTCGTACCAGCCAACAGATCAACAGACGGCCTACTCTCCGCGGCAAGCAGTGGCCAGCACTATGGTCCGTTTATTTATAAATGAGGGGGTTATGCATGAATAATAAACACTCCAACGCTCATGAATTAAAAGAAAAAAAAAACAAAAAGGCTCCGGAAGGCCGTTTGGTTATCGGAAAGGATGGGAGTAGAACGGAGAATAAATAAAGAATTTTAAAAATAAAGTATAAAAGAGGTCAGCAGGATTTAATTTATTGATGATTTAATACAAAATTAATTAAATAATTTTTTTAGTTTGATACAAGAGGAACAGGAACTCTAATATTGTCTGTACGTACATGCTAAATGTTATCGAGAGATGAATAATAAAATATATGACAAAAATGAGCTAAAGGGAAGTATGGAGGGAGGTGATGATAATGGGGAACACGTTGTGAATACAACTAAGGAGGCGTATATTGCTGGCCTTCACTAATGCTGAGATGACTCGTGTCATGGAGCCATGCTCTCGTCTCACTCATTTCTCTCTTCCCTTTTCTTATCTGTTTTGTTTGTTTTCAGAGCTTCCCTGCCTACAATTGTTGGTGGGATTATAATATAAGTGGATCCCAGGATCTGCGAAATTCGGTGAAACTGAGGCACACTTTCTTCAAATATTCCATCACCTCTTTCCTGGTCGCTTGTATTTTTAGGTTTTGATTTCGGCCCCGGAATTCCGTAATTTGCGGAGAAAATGGCTTTAAAGTCAATCAGATTATTTTACTGCGGCCCCACCGCCCACAACTATTAGATTCACTCACTCGCTGAATCTAGGACATAACAATACTATTTCTGATTTTAATTACAAGATCCTATTTATGGTGTATAAACATGATTTTATAATTAGAATAGGAGGTGGTATATCACAACAAAGAATGAATTTTTGTCAAAAAAAAAAAACACAAAGGATGAGGTGAAAATGGTGTCGATCCCAGATTAACATACGTACGCGGTATTAACGAGGATGCCGTCCTGGCCGCCTACTTTGCTGTTATGTGATCATCGAGTCTACAAACTAATCCCGCCCGCTGGGTTCCACCTCCACCCTGTACGCATTCCCAACTCCTTCCTTCCCCTATAAAATTCTATATTCTCCCACTTAGTTGACCAAATAATATTGTACTCGTATCATATTATAAGTATGATATATTTTAATCCACATAATACATTGCAAGAACACAGCAAGAAGAATGTTATCTCGTTGATAAAGAATGTATCTGTTATGCCCCATCGGTTGCTCATCCTTACTCCCACGGGGAGAGTGGATGGCACGCACACTCCCAAGAGCACGATGTATAGGAGCCAAAACCAACAGCACTCTGATTAATATATTTATATTTATTTTTATTTAAAAAAGAGAGAGGAGTAAATGATTGAAGAGATTGCCATGTTTTGTTCGCCCCCCCCAGACAACAGCTTCAACTGTTGTTATAAATTCCATCCATAAATCCCCAAACTCTGGCCTCCTCTCTCCCCTCTCCCTCAGAAAATTGAAGAAGCAGATGGGAGGCTGCGCCACCAAGCCCAGAGTGTTGAAGGCCGATGATTCCCCATTCAATTTCCTTTAACAAAAAGGAGCCACAGGGATTCAAAATCCCTTCCCCGTCAAGAAAAAGCTTCTGCATGAATCCAAAAGCTACATCCTTCTGTAGTTCCACTGGCCTTTTAGAAAAAAATTTGATTACTCGGAGGGACAATTAGGTTGGGTATAGGTGACTAAGCCACGTATCTTTAAGTTGAAACCTTTACTTTACTGTGAGATGTTTGGATAGAAATTAAATTATATTTTTAAAAGTAATTTTACGATATATAAAATAAATGTACAGAAAAATTTATCTACGCTACGGGCTATTTTTAAGCAGAAAGATTTATCTTGTGTGTGCGGATTTATTATTTTGTTGGAACGGAGAATAAGGCAGTGAGAGCTTGTGTGAAACAGTACGACAAGATTCCGTGGGAGTGGAAGGCATCAAAAAACATTATGGTGGCAATTTTATAAAACAAGACAAATTTCTCAGCCTATTTATTTTGCATTTATTCGTAAAACTATTTTTTAAAATTATGATTTAGATTAGAAACCAACCCCCTTACGTGAAAGGAGAAACACCCCATTGATGAAAAACCAAAGCCTGCGATTATTATTTGGAGGGCCCAATACTTTTATCACACCTGCTTTCCCTTTTTAAATTTTTCATGCGCATGTGCTTCATGAATGAGCTTTTTCGCGCAATTTCTCATAATCAGTGTGTCGATCCGTAGAGTAAGCAACATCCTTGATGATGGCGTCCGAAAAAGAACGTACCAGGGATGTCTCGCAACACGACACTATGTCCGGCATTTTATTATTTTGTTACATCATGTTTTGGAGTGGCGTCAAATTAATTATGGAAACCACGCTTACGAGGTTGGTCCCTCTGGACGTCTGATTTTTTAAAATCCCTTTTTTTGGGTTTGGTTTTTAATGTGTCAGAATGAAGATGGGAAGGTAACTCCAGAAAATGAGAAGGTCGCTGTCTCGGCGGTGGGGACGGCGACACAGGAAAAGCCAGAAGCCAAGAAGCCTCCAGAGGAAACCAAAAGCAGCGAGCCGATCAAAGAGGAGTCTCGAGAGGTGAAGGAGGACAAACCTTCAGGACAAAGTCAGAGTCAAAGTCAAAGCAGTGAGGTAATCAAAGAAGAATCTGCAGACGTGGTGGAGGAGAGACCTTCAGGGGAAACTGAAAGCAATGAGGTCATTAAAGGAGAGTCAGGGGAATCTGAAACTGAAAACAAGAAGGTGATCAAAGGAGAACCCGCGGACATGGCGGTGGGGAAAATCTCAGGGGCAACTGAAACGGAAAGCAATGAGGTCATTAAAAGAGATTCAGGAGAATCCGAAACTGAAAGTAAAAAGTTAACCAGAGGAGAATCCGCGGAAGTGGAGGAGAAAATCTCAGGGGAAACCGAAACGGAAAGCAATGAGGTAATTAAACGAGAACCTGTAGATGTGATGGCGGAGAAAATTTCGAGGGAAACCGAAACGGAAAGCAATGAGATAATGAAAGGAGAATCCGCAGAGGTAGTAATGGTGGAGAAGATTTCAAGGGAAACTGAAATGAAAGAAGAAACGACAGAGGTAACGGTGGAGAAAATTTCAAGGGAAACTGAAGCTGACAGCAGCGAGGCAGCGAAAGGAGAATCCTCAGAGAGTGAAAGCAATGAGGTAAGGAAAGAGGAATGTTCAGAGGAAAATGAGAACAAGGACCCGGCAGAGGAGGGAAAAGAAGATCAAAAGAAGGGCGGGGTAGAGGAAGGGCAGGAGAAGCGTTCAGGGGAAGGTGAGAGCAATGACACAGCGAAACAAGAAAGTCGCGGGAGTGAAGTGGAAGAAGGCGCTGAGAAGGTAATTCGAGTTGTGGAGGAAGCGCCACCGGCCAGGGAAGAGGAGAAAAGTCAGAGCGCAGCGGAGGAAGCCAAGCCAGCCCATTAATTTTATTAAACCCCACCATACGCAAAAGCCTCGAGAATCCTAGGCTTCGTGGGCCCTTGCCCCTTCCACCCTCTCTTCTTTTTTTCGCCCCATTTTGGTTCTGCGTGCTTTTGAATTACTCTTTATTTCTTTCTCCTTTTTTTTTTTTTGAAAAAAATAGCGCCGGTCGTGCTTTGGCGTCTGGATTGTAATAATGTTATGGGATTTAATCTATGTCGATATTTTATAGTGTCTTGTTACTTATATATGCTATGTATGCCCCCGTAATTTTTTCCTGATGACCTGCGTATTTCCTATTTTATTATGATTAACATCAATGAAAATATGGCTACAATCATTCAGGAGTAAGGAATATAATGCAAAATGAGTACCAAGTTAGCAGAAAGATGCTTTGTTTGGTTGGGGAGCAAAATATGTAAGTTCATAAACACTTGTGAAAATTGCAACTGCAAAAGACAGGTATCCTATTGAAAAACGATGTAGAAGAAAATTTCGGAATTGAATAATGTATGTATACTTAATAATAGTAGAAGCTGTGTCTGATATATTACTACCTTCGCTCCTAATTGTCAAATTTCATTTGTTAGTTGATGAATGAGATCTTATAATTAGAAAAAATAATAATATTTACTAGCAATATATATCTGGCAAAGCCAAGCTGGCGACAGCGCGGGCACATAAGGCAGTGGCTGTAACATTCTACGAGTGTAGGGTCAGCATTCCTTTGACCTTATCGGAATATTACTATATATGCTAAGAAATATGCTTTGGATCGTGATGATAGCTGCATCATTGATTCTTGATGAGAAAGCTGGTAGGGTAATATGTGTTGAATTCCACATCATTTATTAATTTTGTGATTGCTCACCAGTTTTGCAGCCTTCCTACATTCTCAATATGCAAAAAGAATTAGAATCTATATAAGCATCGCATATCCCATGACTGGTCACGGATTAATTAATTTCCATTTCTTTCTACACAAAATTTTCAAAAGCTCTCCTGCTTAATTTCTTGTGGCAATAAAAATCATGTATTACCTCCTTGATATAAGAGCTAGTTGACTAATTTGAACAGATTAAAAAAGTAAATTAAGCTAGTTATTTGTAATAAATAGGTGTTGTTTTCCGTAAAATATTCTTACTAATTAAGTTTATTCGTTAAAACTACTATTATTAGATTGATTATTTTGAAAGAAAAAAAGAATAAATATAAGAAACAAAATAGATTGGGATCTCATATTAGAACTAAAATAAAAATCAAATAAAATTTTATATTAAGAAGCTACGTAGTACGTTTTATCTGGCTTTATACATGTATTATCCTTTCGCCAAATGAAAAGAAATGAAGGAGGTTTTTAATATCATGCGACCAGAAGGCCCAGAGACACAGAGAGAGAAAGTAGAGCTCATATTCCCCGGTCAATGTGTACAGCTCATGATGATTCGACGTGTACTGTCTATTTGGCAAGACCACCTTGTCATACGTAATGAGAATATGTTATATAAAAATATATACTCCTCCGGTCCTTAATATAGGACCCATTTAACTAATTTGATTAGATTAAGGAAGTTAGGTAAGTTAGTTAATTATAAAAATTGTGACATGTTTTTCCTAAAATACCGTAATCATCTTTCTTAATACCCCTCTCTATCTTCTACTTGATTATGGTTGATGGAGTATCCATAGGGGTAATTAAGAGAAAATTGATAAATATGATAAATGGGTCTTATATTTAGGACCAAAACCAACTTAGCAATTGGGTCTTATATTAAGGACCGGAGGAGTATTTATTTATATATATATGGTTACAATCAGATCAGGTTGTTGCGACCTTTTGAATCCAAATACAAACTAAGTAAGATGAAACATAAAAAAATTGCTAAATCAACGACAAAATAAAACTGACTAAAATTGTATACAAATTAAGGCGAGAATTTGAAGGGCTTTCACTTGAGATGCCTCCATGTCAAATGACTTGCCTGTACTACATGAGCTTCACCAGGCATGACGGCGACAGAACTCGGCGATAATATTCCAAATTCGCCCCTTTGAGAGAAAACCACAGTACATTTTCTGCCCAGGTAGGGTTTTTGGATCGATACATGTACATTTACACACATACAGGTCCGGCGGCCGGCCCCGCCGTTGTAGTACGATCACACACCGATGCCACCTCTAAGTCACGTGAGGCTTTGGGCATTTGCTCTCTGCTCTTTCCCCACAGCACACTGTATAGTCCTATCACCAATATCAACCCTCCTAATAGGCTGCAAATTAAAACAAAACCAATCATTGCGGCAAACATATTTACATTTTAATGACAAAAACCCAAAACATTGCTGAAGCCCTTTATTAATTAGTTGGTTAATTACCTCCCTAAACTCATGACCTCGCCTAACAGAATTGCTGATGAGAAAATGGTGATGATGAGAGCCAGCGGAGTCGACATGGACAAAAACACTGGTCCTTTCTTCTCTATAACCCATGCTTGCATGTAAAATGTCACCCCCGTCACCACTATTCCCTATATATATTACGCCAAAGTTAATCAATTTATATACATATATGTGGAGACCAGTCACAAGGAAAACTGATGATTAAGAGTTTAATTAGCGAGAAAGCAGAGAGAGTGAGAGGATACTTACGCAGTAAGCCACGGCAAGGAGTCGGACATTCCAACCCAGCTTCCATTGCTGAACGTCCCTTTCTACGGCAAAGGCGATGGCAAAAGACTGAATTGAGCTTAAGAAGCACTGCAGGGTTGTGATGAGCAACTTTGAAGGGTACCCTTTTATGACAAAGGCCTGCTTTTAATTACCACCAAAAATGCCATTAGTAAAGCTGATATCTACATTTGTGATGTGTGAAATATGAGAAGATCAATCATATAAAAGTTGAAAGGAAAATAAAGATGACCTGAAGTACGAGCCATAGCCCCCAACAGGTGTTGGAGAGGAGCATGAGGAAGCAACCCTTTATCCAGGTGCCAGATGGAACACCGTGCTGTGCTTGTGCATTAGAATGAGAATACCCCAAAAGGTGATGATGCCCCAAAAGTTGCCAGTGAGGTCCTTTGTAAAAGGCAAGGATTGCCGCACCACCCAAACATGCCACTATACCCACCAACTTTGCAACCCCAGGTGCTGTTTTCACTTTCAGACTTTCAATCCTGTTGAGGGGAAAAAAAAACAAAGAAAGAAAGAAGATTGCCATTAAGCATTTCTCTCCACTCAACACTCAGAGAAAACACCTCATTTCACACAACGTGTTCTTTTTTCAAGCAATATAATTTCCAGACACGTGAACATATATAACGTGTGGTGCCTGAGTAGTGCGTCTTTTGGAAGAAATTAAAGAGTTGTCGAGTTTTATTAAGGATGCCCAATTATGTAATAATATGTTCACGTGAGGAGCAAGGCACGGGATTTTTCAAGATCTTCTGTTGAACTTTTTTTTTAGCTGAAAGATCTTCTGTTGAACTTATTGTCCAAAAGTTCCACTGCATGACTGCTAGTTTCCAAAATCATGTGTAACTTGTACCCAAAAAAAAAACATGTGTAGCTTGAAATGAGCCAAGGTTTTGTTCTATTCAGACATGTCCATGAATCATATTGGACCTCCGCGATCGTACCACTGGTCCAATCTGGAACTTATGGGGCACAAGATAAAACACTGATCTGCTCTGGACAGAAAAATTTTGACCTTGTCAGAATTAACATACCGAGATTACTTCTACTCCAAGGACCCAGGCTAACATGAAATCTGGTACCAATTTACTTGCATTAAACATATTATTTTCCAAATTTGGTTAAAATGTACATGACTTTTTTTTCCCCCCCATAAGTGGTCATGAAATTCCACACGGCTAGCGAGCTAGTATGTGGAGTTGTTTTAGTTTTTTTCCCTTTAAAAAAATATTGATAAAAATAATAGTTAGGGTGAATTTCACTCAGCAAGTTAACGGCTCATTATAGGCATCGATGCATATATAAGATTCTCAATCTGTTGTTGGAGATCTAAGAGTTGTTAAAACTCCAAACTAATGTTACTTGTCTTAGTTGAGTAAAGTTTAAATGCTTATCAGAGTTTTGTTAGAACTAGGCACGGCTTCCCAATTTAAAAAACACTCGAGGGATGCTTAACAAAATCCTCTCATTCATAACAGAATCTAAATCGACACTCAAATAAGTTCTATTCTTACTTTTAAGAGTACTGATTGATGCATGTATAGAACACAAACATGTGCAGTAATTAACTTTCTCTACTATTCAGAATCTGATTGGACTTTAATGCAGCATAATAGTTAACACACAAGTGTGTGTTTTTAATTCCTTCTGAACATGGCTAAGTATTTAGACTTTCGATTTCGTAGTGGGTGATAAATCACGTCCGGAGACATGAAAACCTTTAGTGATGGGACTCATGTTACGAGTTCACAACCCTTTATGTTATGATCCCTCGTAATTGATCGGCAATCGAGATATGTATGGTCCTCAAGTCGAACTTGTTGGGAGCACGATTCGTGAATATATTAATTCTTATTATAAGAAAAATAGAAGATGAAAAAAATATAATTTTGCATGAGATGTATGACTATATATACGTGTGTGTTAGGATGCGATCAAGTGCGAGGTGATATATACATATACCTGAGGAGAAGGGCCAAGAAAAAAGTGATGACGGGAAGGCAGTTAGTAGTAGCAGCAGCTAAAGTTGCAGACGTGTAAATAAGGGCAATCCCATAAATGTCCAAGCTCATGGTTATCCTGAAATTTGGAGTCACCTTCACAGATTAGAAAACAAACCAAAACGTAAAATAATAATAATCAAAGCAATAAATCAGGAAAATGTCACGTAAAACTTTAAGACCTATTTTAAGCTATATATGTCATGAATAGTCCTCCTTAGTTGGTCTCAATACGATCTGACAGGGAAACGACTAATCACACAAAAAATTAACACACGAACCGAACATTACCCCAAGAACGAAAGAAAGAATATCTTGCAGAAGGTCACGAATGGCAGAGGCGGTGCAGTTTTCCTGCAATCAAAGAATTGAAGTGATTAAGCGAGAAACTCCATGAGAAGAAGATAGGTAGCTGATGAGGGTGATGAAGTGGTAGAGAGGGAGACACAAACCGTTCGAAGAAGAAAGCGAACGGGGCGAGGAAGACAGTGGCAGCGGCCTGTCTGTAGAAGACGAAGATGAAATTGTTCATGCCGTGGTCGAAGGCAGCTTTGGAGAGAAGGAACATGCCGGCATAAATTGCTTGAACTATGAGGACAACCAGATAGGGCTTATTTGCTTCCATTGGTGAGGGTTCAGAGTACTAGGGATGAGTGTGGGAGAGGAATGAGAATGGAGAGTTATGGTTGAAGCGTAAGAGAAGGAGCACACATGGTCCGGCTTTTATGGGCAATTAAAGGGTCAAGTTGGAGAAGGACAGCGGCGTGTGTGTGGTGAAGATGATGACCTGCTTTTCATGTCGGGGTCCACCACCATCACCTCCCTCTACGCGCCTCTTCATCTTCCTCCTCTTCTTCATTCATTATATTGTCCCCATGCACTCTTCTTTTTCCTCACTCATTCAATCTTCTTTCTCACTAACTCGTCCATGAATCCCACTCTCAATTTGCAACTACTTCTTCTTTCTCTTCCTTTTTTTTTCCCAATAAATTTTGCATATGATCCTAAAGTAATCTTTAAAGACTCTGGTAAAGAAAAAAAAAATCTTTAAAGGGGGAGTCAAAATCATGTTATTACCCAACGCTGCGCGTTTATTTCTGCTACTGTTTCCCCTAACTAATTAATTTCTATTGCCCACGTTGTTTTTAACTTTCCGTCACGTGGCCTGCCTCCTTTTCCTTCCAATTATTAATTAGTCCTTCGCTACAGGTCGAAGGGCCAAAAAGAAGTCTTTGTAGGCAAGACTGAAAATAGTATTTTAAAAAAATTTGATTATAGTATTTTAAGAAAAACATATCATATTTTCTATAATTAGCTAACTTATTTAATTTTTTTAATTTAATCAAATTAGTTAAATAGGTCTCATATTAAAGACCGGAAGAGTATGATATTTTTTCAGCCTTGTTTGGTTCCATTTGGATTTCTTCTTGACACTTCTAATTTAATTTACTTGTTAATTTTATTTCAAATTTTAAAATTTTATCTCTTTATTTTATGACCTCAAATTTTCTTTCCCGTCCAATAATTTTATTTTTGATCTAGTTAATTAGACTACTTAATTTTATCTCATGTTAATTTTCTTTCAGTCTATTAATTAATTCGTATACTAGCTCATCATTAAATAGATCAATAAACATAATAACACTTAAAACAAAGGTAGGAGAGAAATGTAATTCAGATCAGAAATGCAATTAAATCTCAGCATTTAATTTGTGTGTTGGTTTCGGTGGATGGGGAAAAGGATAAATTATACTCCCTCCGTTCCTTATTATAAGAGACATTTGATGCTTATGTCATGTTTCTATTTATAAGAGACACTTACAAGTTGTCTCTACTTTTTTGTGTTGATTTACTATTTTACCCATATTTATTATTCTTCAACTCACATTCTCTCTCCCTCCCACTTCTCTTTCTTTTAATAATTTAATTGTTCTCTCTCATGCTTTCTCTTCTTATTAATGAGGGCATTTTTGAAAAAAAAATTATATTTTTTACACATTAATTGTTCTTAACTAATTTTAACTGTTTTTTTTATCAACGTACTTCGGTTATTTGTCTCTTATAATAAGGAACGGAGGGAGTATTATCTTATAAACATAAAACACATGCAGGATAGGGAGCGAGGACGCAGGGTGACTTCCAATTCAACTAATTAAAAAGTATTTATTGAAAGGGACAAAATGGAGAACACGTACAACGGCAGAGACCAGGAGTACATATATACTCTGTATAATATTAAAGGCATGGCCCTCTGGTTGGAAAGTTTAACTAATTAACTTGAGAATAAATGGCGGGGAAGCCGCAAAACGTACAGCGCGTAATACTGCTATAATGACTTTCTTGGGTTATCCTTATGGAGTGAAATTAAAATACCAGGTGTTAAAGGCATCTTTTTCCTTAAAATATTCCCTCAGGAACATATGGTATCTTAAACTATCTATGAAGTGATGTAAACTGTTGCTATGTTTTTTTCCAGTTCCGAATTATAACCAGGTCCAAATCCCCTCAGAATTCCTTCCTCTCATCTTACTCTCAGAATCCTCTAATGGATCAAAAAATGGATAATTCAGACTTAATATTTTTAAAAACAAATATCTACCTTCTCTCTCATATTTATATAATACTACCTCCGATCATTAACATAAAACCTTGTTTAAGTTTTATTTTGGTTCTAAATATAAGACACCAATTCATTTTGTCTCTTATATTTATGTATTTTTTTCCAAGATAGTCTTTCTAATAATAGTAATTCTAGCCAATATACTTGATTAGCAATGATATTTAGAAAGACAACATATGTCTATTACAAATAACTAACTTAACTTATTTTTTTAATCTCTTCAAATTATTCAACTAGTTCTTATAATTAGGACCGGAAGTAGTATTATAATAATAGTCTTGTAAAATATTGGATTTGAACAATCCATTTTTTGGTCGAATGATGGAAATGGAATTCCGAGAATAAAAGGAGAAAGATGGATCCCCTTCCATTAAAACCATGCCTTGCTAGAAAAGGCTCCCTCGTTCATTAAATTTGCTGACCAATAACCTTAACTTGAATATCGGCGCTCAAGTGTTTTTCATGATATGATTGAAATTAATTTATCTTTGATCCACGCACTCCTCTACGTATACCGGTGATGCGCCGTATTTTTATATTTATACTCCGTGTATAGAGACTCCGGGTTTTTAATTCTATTTTAAAAACTTTAGTTTACTCCCTAAATATGAAGAGAGAGTTTGCTATGTAATTAATAATGGATTAAATACCAAATCAACTCGCCATTCTTGCACCTTAAGCATGTGGGGTTCTATGTCCTCCTTTCTCTCTGTTAGCGAGATGTTAAAATTGAACGAAATAACTGTTCCAAAAAAGAGTTGATGAACGAAATATGCCATGCGTTGTATATTATAACATGTTTTCAAATCTCGCGGCCTTATCTCCTGCATTTCTGCAAGGGACTATTATTTCCACAACCCCTGACTACCAGGTCACACGATGACAAGTTACCTCTTCCATCAATAAAAATGAATAATTTTTTTTAAAGAAAATCTATCAAAACATGCTTTAACTGAGGTTCTAAAGAGATTGATATAATTCATTCACATTACTTTATGGTTTTCAATATGGGATCCACTATGGTGACGTCGAGCTTTATCTTTTTTTAAATATTTAGGTATTAGGTAATTGCTTGGGTTGGGTTTGCTTTAACTTTTCGCCTCCATTTTAATTTGCTTAATCAATCCCAGTACATAATAATGGGGCATCCTGGAAACAAACACCTTTAAACTGTAGAATGTGGATCATAGTCAGTGAGTCATTCTTTTTAGGAGAGCATCCTTAATCCTTTAGCAAACCCCTCCACGTCCCCAAAACTTGTGAGAATTCATCATTTGCTTAGCAATCATGCAGCAACCTTTATTTTTCACCAAAAGGAAGGTTTTTTTCCTCAAGACTGATCCCCATGCGGCAAAAAAGAAAGAGAGATGGATCCTTTATCTTCTCCGTCCAAGTGGCAACCTTTCTGTAAGGGATTATCTATATTTCGCTGAAAATAATAATGTTGTGATTTTGGCTTCTCTCTCTGTGCCCAGTCTAAATTGGAGTGCCGTAGTCATTTTCTGATGATCACGATGTGACCTTTGCACATGAAAGCAGAACCCAAGGAGTAGAGGAGAGATAGCTGTATCAGAGAAAAAGTAATAACAAGCTGCTTTCCATGCAGATTAGCCTCAAGATTGATTTCCCAATCCTTCAATCCTATTGCGACATTTCAAGGCAGAAAGACCGTCAAACAAATCGCTGCCCTGGACCATTCCTGATTTCTCTTTTCCGCGAACTTGATCTAAGGGCCCCCAACTCTTAAAGGGCCCTCCAATATAAATATTTATGCATATCTGGTCTGTCGCTATTTTGTTTTCTGCACATTGAAACGCTGTTTTTATTATTCCTGCATGGGGAGGGCACTCTTTTAAACTTGAAAACCAATCAAAAGGCTTTAGTTCATTGCATCCCATGATAATAAAAATAGACTTTCCATAATTATTTCCTATTCAACCGACGTTTAAAACCAGAACAGGGAATCCTATACATGACCTTTTTTCCTTTTTTTAATATGGAATGGGAAACAGGTAATGCTCGATCAGCATCTGAAACAGATACGGAAGCCAACCATTTTGTACTCTTGAAAAGAATCAGAGTGTCGCAAAAATTGCACATTGAGCACATGATGTATTATGTGTTCAAATTAGGAAGAAAGACGCTCCTTAAAATCATTCTTATTTTTTATTCTTCTACGGAAGTTCCTCCCTCGCTATTGGTTTATAAAAATTTTTCACTATCGTATGAGCTCTTATACTTTATAATGAAGTTGTCAGCGTCACCATTAACCAAGGGATGAAAGAAAGTAAACGGTAAGAATGAAATGGCTGGTCAGTCACAATCATATGGCAAAAATCTCTAATGTTGAGCAACGACAAGCGCGTGATTAGAAAGCGAGAAATCCCATTAAGTATATTAGTCACTCTTAATCGCCAATGCAATGCCCACTAACCAAAACCTGAT